AAGAGAATTGTACTGCTGTCTTGAAGGTATTTTTAAGAGAAAAATATATGGCAAGCAACAATTCCTTACACACCAGTTCTCTCTCTTTTCCACTTTGAAAAAAAAAATGGTAAGAAAAATCAAAGCAATAGAAATTCACGTTTGATATGGGATCTGTCCAGATCCCATGCACTCAAACTTGTAAGCTTGCTCTCCTATGCTCTCCTATCTCTTGCAAGATCTTTTAAACTCTGGAAAGGCTTGACAGGCAGAAAATGAACAGATGCACAATTCCTTACACACCAGTTCTCTCTCTTTTCCACTTTGAAAAAAAAAATGGTAAGAAAAATCAAAGCAATAGAAATTCACGTTTGATATGGGATCTGTCCAGATCCCATGCACTCAAACTTGCAAGCTTGCTCTCCTATCTCTTGCAAGATCTTTTAAACTCTGCAAAGGCTTGACAGGCAGAGAATGAACAGATGCACAGCAGAGGTGGGAGATGATCTTGTGGGAGGTCTCTCCTGCCTTGTGCCAGGAGAGGGGTGTGGAGGCGTGCCTGCATGCCGGGGTGCTGTGCGGGCAGAGGGAGCCCCAGCACGCACCTCTCTGCAGGGCTGGGGGTTTCCTAAGGCTTGGCAGTGCCTGCCTCCCTCCCCTGGGCACCCTGGGACAGAGGGAAGGTGCCAGCAGGGCAGGGAGGCAGTGCAGCACAGGCTCACTCTCTGTGTGCCAGCTGCCCTGCTGAGCAGCCACCTCTGCAGGGACAGCGAGCAGGCTGCTCCTCCTGCTCCCACCGGGGCATTGCTGCTTCCCGGACAAGCTCTGGTGTCATCCCTGGAGCTCGGGGGCACCTCTGGCTGCAGGGAGTACACCGAGCTCTGTGGTACTCTGCTGCGCTTCTGTTTCACTTTGCATGACAAGCTCCCCCTCTGGGCGTGCAGGCAAGGTGAAAAAGCAAATTTTTCAATGTTATTTAATACTACAAAAGCAATAAGAGCCACTCAGGAGGGTAGGGAAGAACTGCTGGTGCACATCAACTTACCTGCGTAAGAAGCATAAAAGTGAGAGGTGATTTCTTTTGATAATAAGATATATTTTTCAATGCTGAATAACCTTGATAACTTGTCTCCAAATCTTGGCAGGACTAATTCTTCACATTTCTGGAGAACAGCAAAGCTCAAAGTTAGAGATGTTCAACTGGATGGATTCTGGGGACAGCACCCTGCAAACATGATTTCCTCCTCTCATTGCATACCTACCTTTGGTGAGCAGTCATTAGATTGACATTAACTTGATCAATATGAACAATAAAGCTCTTCATGTATATAATTTTAATATTCCAATGAATTCTTTACTCTGATTTTTGAAGCACAGATATGAACATTCCTTGTCTAAAGTCAAAGTTTGTCTAAAAGCTTTTGTTCATTTTCATTGGATATCAAAGGCAGAGCCCTGACAGTGCTGTGTATTTATTGATTTATCTGTTCTAAACCAAACCATTCTCCTTAAATATAACAAGCTTTATTGTTAATAAATCCATGGTAGAAATGCATTGAATATGTGTTTTTGGCCACATCTTCTTTACTCTCTACTACATTTTTTAAGTTATAAAACTCTTTTAGCAGTCACATAGGGAAAAGTATATTGCAACTGTTGTGTTGTTTTGTTAGACATGTGTACAAATTAAGATTGGAAATATCAACATTGCTGTTGTCTGTCTGATGATAACCTCTTGTTTTCTAGTTTCACAACCAAGCCATCAAGAACAAATTCCAAAAGTTTAGGAGAGTAGTTCTGGAAATCCAGTAGAGAGCTGGAAAAAATTACGTAGCTGGTGATATCAAGTGTATTTTAGGAAAATGAGTGTTGCAGTAATTTATTCTGCTCTAGGCAGTGTCATGAATCCATCATGGCACACAGTGAGAGAAAACACGTCAAGAATGCTGGAATACCTTTCCTTACCACGAGACACCCACACAAACTAATAATAGGACAACATTCAATAAAGTAGAAAATAAACCTAGTAGAAACCAAGTTAAGAAAAGTTGGGAAAGAATTTTCCAACTTCATCCTCTGCGCCACACACCTAAAATTTCTAAAGTTTTAAACTCCCTCCATTTTCCACCAGAAAACCACACCATCAGAAGAGGCAAATTTTAGTTCAGTGAGCGCAGAGACACAGAAGTCTGAGCGGGAAGGGACCTTTTAAAAGCCACCTAGTTCAGCCTCCCTATACAGAAAATAGTGGCAAACCAGAAAGCCCTGTGTTCCTCACACAGCTCAAGAGAAACAGTGAAATTACTGATGGGGGAGTCTAGGAAGCAATGCTTTTTGGTGGTGTCCTCTGTGCAGGACAAGGGCTGGTTACTCAGATAAATTATCATTCTAGCACAGAAACATTTGTGAGCTGAGTGTCACAGAGCAGGAGAAAGTCAGCTTGGCATCTTTCCCTCCATGCAGCTTCACTTGTTCTTTCCATACTGTACTTCAACCTTCCATTTTATAATCAAGATTAAAACAAACAAACATGGACTAGAATTCTTTTTTTAAATCAAATTCTGTCCAAAACTTACCTGGGGTTCATGGCTACACTGCAATCAACAGCTGTGGAAACCTGAAGTGACAGGTTGATTCCTGCAGCTCTTCTGTAAGAGCAGTGGGAGTTTGGAAGCTGGAAAACTCCAGCTCTGTGCAGAGCCAGCAGAGCACCACACACCCAGGGTAAGGGCTGGAGCAGTGCAGGTGAACAGAAGCCCACTGAAGGTAAAGGAGAGTAAATTGCGTAAGGAACAGAGTAATTGAAGTCATCACAGCAGCAAGAGAAGGTCTGGCCCAGACCCTTCTTTTCTCTGACTGGCTCTCCTTGCTTTCTCTTTCCATCCAGTTCTAATGGATGCTCCTAATCAGGTTCAAACGAGGTGTGCCATCCCCATCTTGGCAAGCCTGACCTCCTTCACGGGGATTAGCAGCTCCATGACATCTCCCCTGATTTAGGAGCACTCTGTTCTCTTTCAGGAATGAAACCAACTCTGCCTCCTCAGTGCTGGATGCGGCTAGAAATTACTGATAAATTAGTTACAAAGTGAGTTTTTCTCTCCTCGTTCTTTGGAATTCACAGGAACGCTCCCATTTATTTGGAGCCATCATTTTACATGTTGTTCCTTCTCAGCCCCTTCATTTGCATGTTCTTTAATGACACAGCTATAATTATTCACCACCCTGTACCACCACCAAACAAAATGATCCTCAGCCTTCCCTTCTGCACCACCACTTCTTTGTCACTTAAAGTCTCCTAATTTGGCTCCACCAGATCTCAGCCCTCTCTCTGCTGTGGCCAATAACTTTTTCTTCTTTCCCTAGAGAATCTATAGAAAGAGGAGAATGTTTCCCTCAACTTTCCCATGTTCTTATTAGCAGCAGAAAAGAAAAAAAGTCCTTTCTGTATTATCTTCTCACAAAGGAACATCAACCAAGTGTGTGTCTTCTCAAATAATTTCTACTGCTGTATTTTTACTTCCTTTTCACTACATATCCCAGGTCTAAACATTGCTAAACCATCCAATTTTACACCATCCATTTAGGAAGGGCAATGATAAATTAGAGAAATGCTGTTTGTTTGTTTTCTTTTACAAATCATGAAAGGATTAGAAAAATTGTAATACAGAGACTCTGAGTTCGTGCACCACATGGAAAATATTACAGAAATCATGTTCTGAGAGGCTTTTACTTATTTAATCCTCAGCTGGCATTAATTGCAGTGGCAAGATGGCTCAGAAAATTAAGGGATCTCTGCAGGGGTGGGAAGCTGTCAGCAAAACTCTTCTTTGGTAAGGGCAGGTACTGTTGGAATACCTGGTGAGGAGCGTCATTGGGAGAGGCCTCATTGCTCCTGAGAAGTAACAAAAGAGAAAATAAATCTGTCATGGTTCAATTTCTGCATGTCAGAGTGGTGCTAGGGGCATCTTCTGCTTCTGTCACCAAATATTAACCCTGAGTCTGCTTCAGGGACAACAAAGGCCAGACCAACACTTGGGCTTTAAGGAATGGTGTGATCCAGCCCAGAATCCTGTGGGAAAATACGGGAGTGATGTAAAGGAGCCTCGTTAAATAAATTGGTAAAGTGCAACAAAATCCACAGGTGATAAATGCTACTGTTTCCCCTGCTGAGGGAAAAAAAGTGTGAGTGTTTTACCGACAGGACTTATCAGCCTTGTGTTGCAGTGACTGCTGGAAAATTGTTCAGCACGAGTTTCTTCCATGCCAAGATAATCTCCAGCCAAAGATTTTCACAACAGACAGGAAGGCAGCCTAGACCTGCACAGTGATCTCTTAGGGTGTTTTTTTTGTTTGTTTGTTTTTTTGTTTGTTTGGTTTTTTGCTTTGTTTTGGTTTTTTTGTTTGTTTGTTTTTTCCTGGTCAATTTACCAGGCTAACTAAAGAAGTCTATTCTCTTAATTTCCATTAATTTAGAGCGCAATCATCCCACTCAAGGGCAAGGTTCAGAGGGACCTGGACAGGCCAAAAGGATGGGGCTGACAGGACTCTCACTGAAGTCAAGGAAACACAGCCTCGTGTGTCTGGGACGGGGTGAAGAGTGCCCCAAGAAGTTTCACTCCAACAGGAGGAAGAAATTAATTTATGTTCGGTAGGGCTGCCATGGAGTACCGCTGTCCGAGGGGATTCCGCACCACCTGGAGGTGCTCCTGTCACCCTCGGCAGGGGTTTGACAGAGCCCCGGCTTGCCCTGGGGCTCCGTGAGCCCGCACAGCCCCCGGCAGCGGGCAGCCCTGGCTTTAAGGCGATCGTGCCTCACAGCACCCCGCTGAAGCCACTGCGCTCTTCAGCCAGCTCCCGCCGCACGGCGCCGGCGGCAAGAAAGCTCAGGAGACCTGGCCGAGCGCACGCTGCGGCCGGAGCAGGCGCCCCGAGGCCCCGTTCGAGCGCCTCCTCACGCCGGGGACCGCTCGGGAGCTGCTCCCGGCCGCTGCCGCCGCCGCCCCCGCGGCCGCCGCTGCCCCGACTTCCTGAGGGCCGGCGGGCGGGCCCAAGATGGCGCCGGGCCGCTGGCGCCAGGGGCGGCGGCTCCTCCGCGCTCTGCTGCTCGTGGCGCTGCTGGGTCCCGCCGCCTGCTTTTCTTCCTCCTTCTACAGCCCCGGCGAGCCGCGGAGCAGCGTGCGAGTGCTGTGCGGCTCCAACTGGAGCCTGGTGTTGCAGGGCCAGTGGATGTTGGAGTTGTGAGTAGCGGCCGCTTTCCCGCCCGCCTCGGAGGCAGCGCGGCCGGGGGGGCGAGGGGGGTTCCCCGCGGGCCGGGCCGGTCACCCCACCGCCGCTGTGGGGAGAAGCGGCCCTTCCCGCCCTGGCGAGGGCCGTGCGGCTTCCCCAGCCCGGGGACGGCGAGAGGGAGGCGGTGCCCGGTGCCCGCCTCAGCCGGCGGCGCTCCCGGCTCCGCAGCCACGGGCGGACCGAGCCCCGCCGGCTCCCGGCCTGTGGGGGCACACGGTGCCCGAGGTTAAACCGGTCACTCCAGGCAGAGGGGAATGAGGGACGTGGAGGTGTCGGAGCGAGCCCAGAGCAGGCCGCCGAGTTGATCCGGGGAATGGAGCATCTCTCCTTTGAGAAAGGTTGGGAGAATTGGGGTTGTTCACCCTGGAAAAGAAAAGGCTTTGGGTAACCTAGCTGGGGCCTGCCAGTACCTGAAGGGAGTTTACAGGGAAGATGGGGAAAGACTGTTTACAAGAGCGTGTCATGACAGACTGAGGGAGAGTGCCTTCAGACCGACAGATAGTTGGGTTAAATTGGATATTGGGGAAGAAACTCTTTACTTGGGGATGGTGAGGCCTGGCACAGGTTGCTCGCAGAAGCTGTGGATGCCCCTGGATCCCTGGAAGTGTTCGAGGCCAGGTTGAACGGGGCTTGGAGCAGCCTGGGGCAGTGGAAGGTGTCCCTGCTGGAGGAGGGTGCCTTGCCCGTGTCACGGGCTTGGCACAGGATATACGGGGCTTGGAGCAGCCTGGGACAGTGGAAGGTGTCCCTGCCTGTGTCACGGGCTTGGCACAGGATAGCCCTCAAAGTCCCCTTCCAGCCCCATCCATTCCATGCTCCCGTGAAACTGCTTGTTCCTCAGGTTCTCATCTGAGTGCCCAAGGTTAAAAGGGTCATTCTGGGAATAATGTCCAACATTTCCCCTTGCCCTGCTCCCCAAGCGGGGGCTGGTGCTGGATTCTGTGTGAGCTCCAAGAGGGCTGAATTCTGGATTCCACAGGGAACATTGAGCAGGAGTAGGCTTCCAGAGCAGGATTGCATAATGTCCCAGCCTTGACTTGAGCTCGGAGCTCTCATTCAAGGGAGATGCATCAGATTTCATTAACTTCTGACTGGCTGCACCGGAGCAGTGGCTTTGCCTGGGGCATGGCACAGTTCTTGAAATGCAGGTGACTTTATTTTTGGTGGAGCCTTGTTCACCTGCTTGTATCTAGTTTGAGGGAGTTTTTTTTTAAGACAGCAATGAATAGTTTAAGTAGGCAGTGCAGCCACGTGGTACCTGTGGGCCGTGCAGCTATAAAATAGAATTTTATTGTGGCATGTGTGCTACTCTGCTCAAGTGCCTGAGTTTAAAACAGTTTGAACATCTGAACTTGTGCTTCCTCCTAAATACTTAACTAGCTGCTTAAAGTTTCGGCTTGCCCTTGAGTTTGTTTTATCTCCAGTCTCTTCTTAGCGACATGGATCGTCTCTCTTAGGGCTTCAGTGCTCAGGATCCTGCTGGAGCCTGGTGTTAATCAGTGAAAGGTGGTAACGATCTTGAAACACCTGACAGGGACCAGGGATGCCAGCTGTTGTGGTTGAGGATTCACAATGGGTTTTGTGTCTCTCTTCATTTATTGGGATCTAAAAGGTGGAGGAAAAAGTAAATTTGTTTTAAATTGAAGTTTTTTCACTTAGTGCAACGTGGAAGCAATTGTATGAAAGTTATTGTTTTGTACACAGGTTGGTGAGCTTTAAGGAGGAAGGTTATTTATGGTGAGTTGAAGTTTTTATTTCTAAAAGAAAATATTTCAATAACTAGTGTTGCGTGCCTCCGAAGAAGAAAAAAGAGAGGAACTGACTTGAAACCACAAGTGGTTGGGGTAGCAAACAATTAGAGTCCTTTGGAAGCCTTTACTCCAATTGAAAAATTGGGTTTTGGTTTGGAGTGAGAGGTTGCTGAGCACAGCAATGGTGCAGGGTTAGCTTTAGCATGGTACATGTTGCTGCATTGCTTGAATTGGACTAATTAATTTTATTTGGTGTTCGATGTGTGAGAGATCCTCGGGCCTCCACGCTATTTCCTGTGGTTCATTACTGGTGCTTTCTGCTTTTCTCCTGAGGAGGAACCTTTGTCTTTAGTGAGGATACAAACTCAGTGCTGCCGGTGTGGAATTAGTGGGAGTTTGAGCTCTGGCACTGATTTTTTTTAATGTTTTCCGGGCAGAATCCAGTCCGGGTTTTTTCCCCTCTGCGCTTTCCAAGTGAAATCTGATCCTGGTTTCCCCCCATCCCTGCTCTGGGTCCTCATCGTCAAAAAATCTGTAAGAGAAAGGAGAAAATTCAGTTTTGTTTTGGGAGTGGAGCTGGGGCAGGCAGATCTTTCAGCCAGTGAGTTTTTCCACAGGCAGCAGCTGCATCCCTTTTGCCTAAATATTCCTTGCTGGGCTCGTGGCAGAAACTCCTGGTGAATCCTCAGCCCGAGTGGCTTCAGCGGGAGAACAGCAAACACAGGCTCATCTGATTCTTGCAGCAGTTTCTGTTCTGTGGGATTTTGGCTTCTGCTGGTTTTTATCTGGTTTAGAGCGAGTGATCCAAACGGAGTCCTGTGTGTCAGTCCATGCATTCCCTCCGAGCTGTCTCGGGCTGGCTGGCAGCACTGCAGTGATGTCCATTAGAGCCTCATTTGTTTGGAGAGCCTCCTATTTATTTATAACACCTTTGTTTTCCGAGCAGTACTTTTTTTTACTGCAAATGTTATTATAGCATCTTCATGAAAAAAAAATAATTTCATCAGCTGCTCTTTTGAAGCCTCCTGCCGTGGTAGGAACAGGTACAGCTGCTGTGTAATGTCAGTTTTTCTATTTGGGAAAGTGGAAAATCACTGTGTAATTCCACTTTTTTGTTGTTCCCAGGTGCCTAAATAGAGAAACTTAAGTTTCAAATTACTTGTGTGTGGCATCTGTAGCAGAAATAGGATATTTTTTCTTCATTCCCCCTAGCTGAGGTGCGTGTACTCACCTGACTTTTTGTAAATATGTCGTTATTCATAGCTGGAAAAACTGCAGGCCCTGGAAGCGCTGCTGCATTTTATTGATAAGTGTTTTGGAGAAGGTTCTGTATCTGCCAGACATTGCACTGTTTTTTGGATATTGTTGCTATCACAGCACACAGGTCTGGGCTGGAGTGCTGGGAGTGTGATGCTGGAATGAGCTGTGTTTAAAAGTTCCCCTGTTTCCTTATCTCTGTTCTGTAGCTGTGAGATAATGATTCATTAATGTGATGAGTTTTCTTTTTGTCTTAATATCGTGTCTGTCTGGAACACACAAAACTAATTTCTGGTCTGCTTACTTAAAAGTGCATTTTGCATTTGTAAACTAAACTTGTTCCAAACTTGATTTATCTGAATTTAACATCCTCTTCTTTTTGAGGTAAATTAAAACAAGCAAACAAAAAAACCCAACCCATCAATGAACTTGTTGTCTTTGAGGCTCTGCTTACAAAAGAAACCATTTATGCTCTTGGTGCATCTGCAGTACTTTATGTGCTTGCTCCCACATCGGGTGTTAAATGTTTTGGTTCCCCTTTGTTTCAGCACAGACTTAGTGCTGTGTGTACCTGAAAAAGAATGTCTTCTTTGTCCGTTTTAGTACAGCCAGGTGAAAATCAGGAGATCAGTTAGCAGTCATGTCTGTAAGGCTTATTATTCTTATAGTGCAGGCCCACACTTTTTATTTTCTCATTGTCACTTGCCATTAAACATTGCCCTGCTGTCTCCGTGGCTGGCTGGTTGCGAGGGTTCAGCCCTCCCACCAGCACCTTTCTTCTGTAGCTTCAAGGGAGTGTGCTAAAAATGAAATTGAATGTTTTGGCATGTGGATGATTTAATCAGTTGCCTTGCAATGCTTTGTGTAAATAAAATCTCAAATTATTTAAAGTGGTAAACTATTTAACAATTACTGTCAGTTAAAGAATTCAGCAAGATTGAGACTTTTCTGTCATTTAAGGGTGTCTAGTCTCTTTTTTCTTGTTAGTGTCCAGGCTTTTCTTTGTCCTATTCTTAAAAATACCCAGCAACCCAAAACCCAATAAAAGCCAAAAAGCAAGGGGAATGAAAATCAAGTTATCAAAACTCTGTTTTGGTTTTGAAGCCTCTGCAGCTCTGCTGGCTGAGTTCAGAGGAAGTGACCAAACATTTTATTTAATAACTGAACACACAGCTGAGTGCTGTGCAGGGCATTGGCTGAACAAAAACTGCAAAAATGTGATGCTGAAATATACTTTGTAGCAGAAACAAAGCAGGTGCAGAAGGGGACATAAAAATATGCAGAACGATGGAACTTAATCTGCTGAAGATCTAGAATAATTCACCTAATTTCTCACTGATTGATTTGCCTTCTATTTTAAAATAATTTCTCCTTCTTTAAAAAAAAAAAAACAAAAGCCATGTGTGGTTTGGAGGGGTTTGGCACTGGGCAGGAAGCTCCTTGACAGCTTCCAGGGCTGTGCTGTGGTGATACAGATCCGGGTAAATGACAGGGACCAACTTCTGTATCTTTGGCTGCCACCTGCTCACTTGGAAAGTCTTTAAAAACACACAGTTGATCTGGAGCTTTTCTTTTGTTGGCATTACAAAGCTGCCTGTCGTGCCCCAAGACCTAGCTGTGTTTAGAATTGCCTTTTTTTTCCTTTGGTTTTGTATGCTCCTGAGATCTGTAGCAATAAGGCGAAACTATTTAACACAATAAAAATAAGAATTTCATTTGCTGCTGCTTTTACCATTCTGTTGAGTACTGTCCCAACATTTTTGCTCTAATTTTAATAGCATTGCCAATACGAACTCCATCAAGCAGCTTGGTTTAAGCAGGTTTTGCTCTTTTCTGTTCAGCAAATCCTCTCATGCCTGTATCCATGAGCTGCTTTTCCTTTTTCCTGGATTCGTGCAATTGGTGGAATTGCCGTTAGTGCAGAGTGTGGAATGGTGCTCAGGGTTGCATCTGTTATTGTTGGTAATGGTGGTGAGGAGGCAGATAAAGAGTCAGTGAAATGTGCTTGAAACGGAGTGAAACGGTGGATTCAGTGGCCAGGCAGGTGCGGCAGAGGGAGAGTGGCTGGGAGCTGCATCAGTGCCTCTCAGCAAGGTCTGTGCGTTCACTGATCGCTGGGGTGGTGGAGCTGACTGGCACCTTTGCTCAAACTGCTTTTCACTTCACTGGGCTTTTTGTGCTGCCTCACTGAAGTTGTTGCTATTTGAAAGCCAAAGCTTGTTCTTTTGTGCTTTAGATCAGAGGTAAATAGAAGTCAAAAGAAAAGCCTGAGAGCTTAAAATTTTGTTTTTCAATTGCTTTCCTTATGCTCTCTGCAAAAAGCTTTAGGTATCGTAAATGGAGTAGGAGCAGGAGAAAACACCTGGATGCTTGGAAATAGTGATTTTAGTCCACTGAGGTTAAGGGTTGCTGCAGTGATAGATGTTTGCTGCCTTTTTTATGGCAGGCTGACCGTGTGTGAGAGCATTTCAGCTTTAAACTCTGCTATGAAGAGGTCTGGAAGCTTCAGGAACAAGGTGTGTGCTGAGGAATGTGCCGTTTTATGGCAGGCTGACCGTGTGTGAGAGCATTTCAGCTTTAAACTCTGCTATGGAAGAGGTCTGGAAGCATCAGGAACGAGGTGTGTGCTGAGGAATGTGCCATACCTTGCAGGGAATAGTTTGGCAGTGTGTCACTTCTAGCTATGATAGAGACCAGCAAATTGCCTTTTAATGTGTAACAGGCTACCGAAAGCTTTCTTCCCTTAACAGAGTTCCCAGGTCTTGATTTAAATTCCAGAAGGCTTTGATTCTTGACTGGGAGAGGCCCGTTTTCTTGTCACACCTTTTGCACTGCACCCTGTGCCCTGCAGGTTAATAGGGCTACCCCCTTGTGCACAGGGAGGAGGAATGGGAGTGACAGCCCGAAATTTGGTGGTGTTGACAAAATGCTAATTGCTTCCTGGCCTGCCTGGGGTATGGCAGGAGAAACTTGGTTACATCTGCTTTTGCCAGGGACCCGCTCTTGCATTTTGTGCCTTGAAAAGTAACAAAGTCTGGTTCCACAGCAGACACGAGGGTCTGTTTCCCTGCTCCTACATTATATTTCTTTTCTATGAATTTAAGAATGGTAGTTGTACCATAACTTCTGTGGAAATACAAATCAGCCACAGTTGTAAAGGATTCATTAGAAGACCCTGTTGAAATCAAGTACTTCCCTCAGTCCTTCAGGGTGCAGAAAGTTTTTTGAAACTTTTGATAAAGATGTCCTAAGTGTGAGGTATTTTACTGTTCAGTAACTTACCTCCCCTTACACTTACAGTATTCTAGGACTGAGAAAGAGACAATAAAGCTTTGGTAATGTAATGTATTTGTTATATCCAGGGGACAATCATGAATTCCTTGATGCTGCACAACAACTGCAGACATGAAAGCTTCAGGAAAGTGAGGCTGTTGAGGTAAACAGCAGTGGTAACTCTTGCAGAAATCTGATGTTTATTGCAAGTTCTCTCTTGGACGTGTGGGGACAGGCTGTTTCCTGGCTGGCAAGAGTTGGATGTGTAATTTCAGGAACATAAAGCAAATATTTTAGTCCCGATTGTCTGTGCCAGTGTTCAGCTGGAGTGGCTGGATCTTGCAGCATTATATGGAACTATTGCCATCCCCTGTCCAATATTGATACTAAAAATTAGCCAATAACCACAGCTTTTTGTGAAGTTCACTGTTACATCCTGTCACTGCTGAACTGTGACGTGGGCAGATTTTCATGCTGCTTTGAACTAAAGGAAATATTTTCAATCGTATGAGTGTTAGTCGTGTATTGAATATTCCACTTCATTCAGGAGAAATGCTCATGTATGTCAAATGTAAATATAAATTTTGATGGGGTGGAAATTTCTGTTCCAAAATCAGATTAAACAGGCTAAAGGATGTATTCATTTTGAAAATCTCATGGTGTGAATTTGAGACATCTAGAGAAGCTGGATTTAGAAAACAGGCAGACTTCTCTTTCACTTTAGATCAACACCAGCTGCATTATCTGATGGATGTTTGCAGGTTCTTATTTATCAGTCAAGCTTCTCTAATGAAATAATCCTGTTTGTGAAGTACAGTATCTGTCAGACTGTTATTAAAAGCTCTCTCTGGGCCAGCAGCACAATGGAGAACATTGCTGTGTGTGAGACTTGTTTCCAGCATCTTTTGGAAGGATACTGAGGGGCTGTCTCTTGGCAGGATAAGATTGATGCCCTTTTTGCAGATGCTTTCACACAGGACGATGTTGACTTAAAAAGACAAGATACAGGCTTTCACAGTTAGACTCATAAGTTTCTACTACAATTAAATAAAACAAGTATTTTTAATTTGTGTCCTTTAAACTGCCAAGTGACAAGATTCCTTTTTTTAAATACAGGAGCTTAAAAACCACCACAAAGCACTCAGAATACATTTAATTCCACCTCTTCTGTGAGAGATGACCTGTTCTACATTGAGCTTGATTCATATGAGACATCTGGGGGTGGCAGGGGATGTCTCTGTCTGCAGCCAGTAGGGAAGGAAGCATTCCTGCTGACAGCCAGAGAGCAGGCATTGCCAGTCCCTAGCTCACACAGCAGTGGTGGCAGACAAACCAGAGGAGTGGAGAACCCTGTGAGGGTTCCCAGTGATGGCTTTGTGCTAAGGATCTTGGACTCTGCCCAGGAGGGAATGTGTTTCTGTGGTTTGCAGTGGGTAGGGAGCATGGTGAGCCCTGTGACAAGGAGAGTGTCCCCAGACTCACACACTCACTTCTTTTGCTGCCAGAAACCTCCATCCCTGCCCTGGTCAATCAAATTAAACCCCATAAAGGTCTCTCCTCATGAGTAAAAGGCTGAGCTGTGCATGTGGAACTGCCCCAGCTCAGTCTGTACCTCCCAGTCCTGGTTCCCTTTGGTGTGTCTGACAGAGCCTGGCAAGCTGCACAAGTTTCATGCAGGCTTGGCCAGCCAAGTTAGGCTAAAATACAGAAAGGTGGAAAAAAAGGGATTTTATTATCAATTTTATCTGATGTTATCCTTTATATTAGCTGCTCTGTTTCCAGATTGATTATTACCAAGAGGTGCAAAATTGGTTTAATTCTTCTGATTGAGAGTGTAGAAAATTCAGCACTTGAAAAGAGCAGTCCTATTATTCTGAAATGAATCCTGGGTAAAAACAAGATGATAAGTATGAGCAGCAGGAATTTGATGTGTGCTCTTTTTAAGTCTCTCATGACTGCTATCATAAAGGGCACGTTGTGATGTATGGAGTAGTGGGCTAAGGCAAATGTAATTTCAGGAAGTTCTGAGGTGTGGGAAATCAATACAAAATGCTGTGATGAAGGATGCTGCTTCAGAGGACAGCCTGGCTTCAGTAATTCAAATAGCTGACATGCAAATGTATTTTATTTCCCATGTAAATAGAATAAATCACAAGTGGTGAGGAGTTGGGATATGAATTTCTCAAATCTGTGATTTGTTTTGTTCTAATAACGTGGGGAGGAACATAGGGATTGATAAAAAAACTTTGATTGTCTTATTCAGTAGACTAGATTAAGAAAAACTGTAGGTTTTTTGCTGTGTGATTGGCATGTTTGTACATTCTCTGTACGCTAACTCAATTTGCATGTCTTTAAGTGTAAGAGCATTAAAATCCTCCCCTGCCTTCCCCTGCAGTTATGCTCCTTGGTGTCCAGCCTGCCAGCAGATCGAGGCCACCTGGGAGAGCTTTGCCAGGGAGAGCGAGCGGCTTGGCATCACTGTTGGGAAGGTGGATGTCACTCAGGAGCCAGGTACAGCATGGGACTGGGAGTTTCAATAACAGGAATTGTTCAATACAACTGCCATTCACTCTTTATTTGGGCTTCAAAGTCAAAATGATGTTCTCCACACTTTGTTTCTCCATACAGTCCGTATTTCTGAAGTTCATAAACTCAATTTGAAGGATTAAAGAATTGGGGGGGTGATTTGGCTTCATGCTGACTTACAAGAGGCTTATTCTCTATTTTAATCCTCTTCACTGGAAGCTGTTGCCTGTCTCGTTCCTCCAACCTGTCTGCAGAAGATTCCAGCTCCGTAGCCTCCCGTTAGGAGAATTTCAGGGTGTGGTAGAGTAAGCCTGCTTTAATTAAAGTTGCTAATTGTTTCCAGCATGTTGCTGGTTTATTGACTGCTTTAATTCTGGCAGTGCTTTATATTACAGATGTTATTGCTGTTTCCTGTTGGTGATGCTCATATGCAAACATGTTTATAAAAACACTTCCCTAACTATTCACAGAAGCACGAGTGCAATCTAATTTATTCCTCTGGTGACTCCCTTCAAAGTTTGGAATGTCTTTGTACAAGCAGTATTAATATTGTATAAACCTCTGCATCTCCTGGGAATGCTTCATGCGTGTTTGGCCTTTGAGGGGATAAATGATTTTATCAGCAGTATCAAAAGACTGATAGATGTGATGTTATTAGGAAAAAAAGACCAGACTTCACTTATTTTTCTTTGGTTTTGCTTTATAAAGTGTGTGAAAAATGCATTTATTAGTTGAATACATGCTGAACAGATTTACTGTATCAAAACTCTTGTCTCAGAATCAGCAATCTAAGTAGACAAGAAAATGCCAGCTGTTCTAGACCCTGTGTAGGTTCGTGTCATGTTAAAAGTTCACAAGTATGCAAAAAATCTGGTATCAAAAAGCTGCATATACTAATCATTATATAGTGCAATGAACAGATGAGTTTTAATATCTTGTTTAAATAGATGTAAACTTAATACTTGAATTGCTGAGAGTCCTGACCCCTAAGCATGGGTTTCTTCTGAGTCAAAGGACTGACCAAAATGATGAATTTGTACCAAAGCTCATGCAATAAACCTACAACATCCAGCTCAGCACTGGGAGCTGCAGGCCTTTCTATAAGTAAGGAATGCACAAACTGGAAAACAACATTTATTACCTATTTGACCTTTGGTGCTGATGTAGTTTGGAAGATTGGAGTTTCTATGGAGCTCTCCAAAGTTACTGAAGTATTTTCACTGTGGGCTTTGCATCAGCCTTTCAGTTGTGTTGAAGTGCTCTGTCTCCTTTCTTGCTTGCACAGTGGTTCTTTAATTAGTCTTAGTTATGTAACCCCTTCATTGAATTGAAAGTAGTCAGAATGTGTTAAATTAGGGGAAAACCACGAGATGAGTGCAGAGTTACATAAAATTGCACCGAGAAAGTGGCCATTCATGGTGCTTAATTGCAGGAGATGCCTGAAGAATGAATCCACCAGAGTCTTAATGGCTCCACAGCAGATTTCAGTCCCTTGATGTTCCAGCCCTCAAGTGCTTCCTCTTGCCTCATCTTCTCCATTGGAAGATTCAGTGTGGAACAAATAGTGGAGATGCTTCTGGACCCTTAAATTCTGCATATTTTTGGTGCCTTTTTTAACCTCCTGATCACAACGTTTACCTGTGAATTACAACAAGGCTGCTTTGATCTTCTGTGTCGTCTTTGAGTAGTTGTTGGCTGAAAGCAGCTGGAGTTTTAGATGACATCTCCATTCTTTGTACATTTTTGGAGTTGTGCATACCTCTGAAATACATCAGATAAAAGGGTTTTTAAATTTTCTTTTTTAACCTCCTGATCACAACGTTTACCTGTGAATTACAACAAGGCTGCTTTGATCTTCTGTGTCGTCTTTGAGTAGTTGTTGGCTGAAAGCAGCTGGAGTTTTAGATGACATCTCTATTTCTCTGTACATTTTTGGAGGTGTGCATTCCTCTGAAATACCTCAGATAAAAGGGTTTTTAAATTTTTGATTAACTGCTGATTTCATAGTGGGTGTCAGTTTCTGATTTGCAGACAGACAGATGCTTAACTGTAGCCAATTCAAGATTGTATTAAACAGGCACCAAAACAGTTTAATGTGTTCTTAAATTTTGTAGCTGACTCACATCTGCTTTTACCAATCTAGGGAGGTGCCTTAGATAACCAGCAAACCTCCACCAAAAATACTGGGGGAGCTTAGAGGTATTTCATGACTTTTAGATTTCAGAGTTGTTCTGAGGTGTTCACTCTAGGATAGGCCACACGTGAGAGGTTTGAGCTGTTTTATTTCCTTTGCCTGAGTGGCACTTGTAAGAACTTCAAAAAGCCTGTCAGTGTTCCCATGACTTTCTCTGCTCTTGAGCTAATTATGTTCTTTGTGACTCTCCACCCACTTTTCCTTGTGCAGCTGTGCTGTCTACTTTATTAATTCTGCTGTTACACTTGTGGGTTTGTTTGTTTTATATCTCCCTGTGCTGGCACAACTTTTAGGTGCTTCAGAAAGTTTTTCATCACCCTGCCTCTCATAGCAATAAAGGCAGAGAGCAAAGAAGCTCTCCTTTCTGGACCTTTAAAGATCATTTGCTTTACATGTCTTCAAACAAAATACCAAACAACAAAAAAAGCCATAACCCTTTTTTGCCTGTTCCGTAGAGGAATTCGCACTGAGGAAAACATTACCAGTGAAACTTTTACAAATACCTGGCTTATTTCAGCATGGCTCATCTTTGTCTCTAAAGGCAGAAACCCTCTTGCTCCAATACTTTTCCATGGCTAATCCTGTTGCCTAGAGCTGTTTGCTTTATTGAAGGCTGCATAAGGCCTTCATTTCCCCAAAGATTTTCACAGAATTTTATAAAAGGCAAAGTTAAATAACCATACTCTTTACACTGGTACTTGATATGAATTGCAGTTGCTGCCTATAGGAATTCAGCCTTTGCTAATGGATTCTGAGTGCTTCTAATGCTGGGCTGGTCCAAAATTTCAGCTGATACTGGCATGACAAATCCATTGATGAGGAAGATTACCTCCCAGTAAACATTCTTCAAGCTAAACATTTTTCCTTCATTTATAACCAATATTTAGTATCTGTTACTGTTTGTAACATCTCTGAAGACAAACTGTTAACCTGCATTTACAAAACACTGGTGAAAGCTGTGCAGCCTGCTCTAAAATACAGATATGTTGGTATTTATAGATAAATCAGAATGCTGAGAAATTTGTGTTACTGAACTGTTTGTGTTGTTTTCTTCCCTTTCTAGGCTTGAGTGGTCGTTTCTTTGTCACAACACTTCCTACAATTTACCAGTAAGTGTGTCATACTGGAAACTGTAGCTGTTGACTCCTACTTGTCACTTGATTTAATCTGTAACTGAAAAGCAGGGGAAATTGAAGGAATAGTGACTTTCAATTTCAGCTCAGGTTACTGTCGCTTTGATTGCATGATGAATTCCTTACGTGAAGCTTTTCTTTAGTTTAAGTGACTTCACTAAGTTTCCCTGTTATCCATGCTATTAAAATGGAGCAGAGAAGACATTTGCTGTATCTCTTCTCCAATAAGGTGATGCCATCTTTAAAATATTGAACTCTTCATTAAGTCAGAGTATTATGAGTTGTGCAGATACAAATGCAAAGCACTTTTAATTCTGAATTATTTGTTTATAATACTGTATACTGTATATATTTGTTTATAATACATAATACTGTATACTTATGTATTTAGAAAGTTTGATTGTTAACCTCAAGTGCTTTGAGTATTTGCTGTAGTGCCAGTGAATAGTTAAGAAAAATAGCAGCTTTATAGATGGCAAAACCCCATGCTGTTTAAAAACTGAGATTTTCCATTGTGCATTACAGTTCCCAAACCCCCAGCTCTGCGCAAGTGAAACCTGTGAGGTGTGTGTGGTTTTGGTTGGGTTTTTTACCCGGGTTTGGGGCTGTCTGTGCTGACAGGGGTTTGTTCTGCAGTGCCAACGATGGAGTGTTCCGCAGATACCGCGGCTCCCGGACCCTGGAAGATCTTCAAGGCTACATCTTAGAGAGGAAGTGGGAAGCTGTGGAGCCTGTAGCAGGATGGAAGTCTCCATCTTCTATAATGTAACCCTTGGTTTTTGTTAACAAGAGCAATGTTCTATATCTCATTGTTCAGTGAGGGTCCTGTGTTGACAGTTTAAAGACAAAAGGCCTTTATTCCTTAGACTTGCAGGCTTTGCAGAAGCCATCAGTATTGACAGCCTGATTCCCAGCTTCTCACCTATAAAGGCAGCTTATTTTCTGCATTTCTTTTGTTTGTGCCTGCTAGGGCTTGTTTATGTCTTCTTTGAAAAGAGATTAAAAGAAAAAATACAGCCAGTGAGCATTATGTAAAGTGGCATTTTCAATATCTGTTGAGTCCTGGATTCATGCATGTGTTTATGTAAATTATTGCTTCATGACTTCTGGCTACTGGGCAGCTTTTAGCTTTAAGGATTTCTTGTTTATTTCTTTACAAGAGAGACTTTTGTCTCTCTTTGGAATAGCAAACAGTATAGTGCTTACAGGATATTTAAGAATTTGTTTTTAGAGAGAGAGATTTGCTTAGAAATATTGTAGAAAGCTTGCATGGCACAAAGGATGAACCAAAGGCATGAGTGGCCTGCAGTTCATTCTGGCTGAAGCCCTTATGTACAAATCCACATCAAAGACCCAGAGAGGGTCCTTATTTTTCATGTGAGAAGGAAGAAGAGCTGTAGGATATTTAGGAATGGGGAGAGGAGCCACAGGGCTGCTGTGAACCTGTGCTTCCATTTCCTTGTTTTCCAGGATGCATGGCATGGCAGGGCTGTTTCACTTCTCAGGATGGATCAGGGTGAGTAACTGTACAGCGTTTTCCATACTCCTTTTTGTGCTTGAAATAATCATATGTTTAAAAGTCAATACATAACTAAATATTTTTGTTATCCTTTATGGGAGTTACATTGTGTATTGCACAGGAGAAGGGAGGGCAAGGGGGTTTTTTAGTAATAATTTCTGTGTCTGGGGCTCAAACTGGCAATACCACTTGTGTAGGAACATGATGAATTTGGATAATAGAGTCATTATGAGAAGTAAAGGAGAAATACTTAGCTACACTCAAGTGTGCTTTAAAATATTAAAGCATATTTTACTTTAAAATATTTCAAGATGCTTTCATTTGGGAACTTTTCAAGTTATTCCATGGCATCCAAATACTGAGAATTTTCAGATTCTGGTTAAGAAACATCCTCTTAAAACCTTTGTGTCAGTGAGATTGAATTTGATTGCAGCAAAATATGTTCCTATTGTAACATGTGCTTCAGAAAAGAAATGTAGTTGAGAGCTGGAACAAGTTTGTATCACTTCTACAAAGCACCAAACTAACATAGAATCAAGCAGAGCTCTGAGTTGTGTATCTTTGATTCTTTCACTGGATAATATTTACTTTTTATAGACTTCTGACATTTCTCTTCCATGGTTGCTCTGAAATGGTGTTGTTTCTCTATAGTCTCCTTCCTGAAAGATTAACTGTCCTGGGAAGAAACCTCTAATTTGTGTTCCACTTCAATGAATATTTCAGGTGTACATTTCCTCACTCTTCCTGCTCTGCTGTCTTTGCTTGGGCCTTAATAAATATCAAAAGATGTTCTGACATTTAAAAAGAAGACTCTGGAATTTTCGTATTTAAACTCCTGTAAATGTTGTTTGTGGTTTGTTTTGAAAGAGATTTAATGTCATAATTGACTTCCTACCAGCTCACTGACTCCATGTGCTGCTTGACTCAGACAATTGAATTTGTGGGTTTGAGGAACAGATCAAAGTTTGAAAGAAATCTTAGCACTATATTTGGGTTATTATATTTGAATTTGGAAGTGAAATAATTTATTTAGTTTATGCTTAGAGTGTGTGGCTCCTTTTAAGAGCTAAAAAGCTTAAGGAAGAGCTGAAGGGCTTAATTTTAGTTAATGAACAGATGCCACATAAGGATGAAGGATGTTGTGATACTTTCCTGCAAGCTGCAAGGCTCCTCATCCATCCATCTGCAGTAAAGGTTGTGTGTCATCTGTAATGCTGAGTGTCTTAGGAGGAGGAATTGCACATCCTCTGCTTAAAAAGCCTTTTAATGGGAACAAATTAGTAAAAACCCCCAAGATTTAATGGTGTCAAAAGGGGAAGACTTCAGTATAAATATTGTTAAATGAAAGGTCTTAATCAGACAGCAGTTCATGTGATGGTGTTGGCAGTAGAAGTCCTAAGTGGGTTTAGGTATGAATTTATTAAATATCTTGCTCTAATTTCCAGCAAATTCATAACTACCTCACGGGCACTCTTGGAGTTCATGTTTGGATTTCCTATGCCATCTTCATCTTGGCCACCTTGCTGATTGGCCTGCTCCTGGGTTTGGTAAGAGAACATTACTTTTTTTCTCAGTTAGCTAGAACTCTTGCTTTGCGTTATCTTGTGAAAAAAATAAAACCAACTTTGCTCATAAGACTTACCTATATATTTAATATATCTTGCTTTAGTTATATATTACTGAATACTAATATCTCTTCCCTGTGACATCCAGAATGTGTGAGAGTGGATTAGAGCTGTGCCAGGGAGGTTTAGACAGGAAGCAGAGGGTGGTTAAACACTGCACAAGGCTCCCCAGAGAGGTGGTCAGTGCCCTCAATACAAATCAGGTCACCTTCTTATGAAGTCTGTTCAAATTCTTAGGAAATGCTTCAGTTTAGATTTGTTCAGTCCATCCACTAAAAGGAGTGATTCTTGTATTGGCCTTTTTGTATCTAAGACTTTTCCACTTAAGGGTGGAATGTGAGTGGTCAGAGTTGATCAAGACTCCAAATTTCTAAGAAAACAGGTTTTGTGGGGAGTTTCATTAACCACAGAGGAATTGGTTTTGTGGGAGTCAGCAATGTAAGGGTTCTGCCACACTGTTACTCAAAATAAAAGGATGAAAATATTTTCTAAGGCTTTGGAGATTTGGGGGTTTAGGTTTTTTCAGATTAGTTGCCTGTTCCACAAGCACATTCTGCAACTGCAAGGACAGTTCAAACAGTTCTGCTGGTACCTGGTTTAGCCTGCTGCTAAGTCATTATTCCTTGCAGGATGTGTAAAAGTTGTTTCTGGGATGTGGATGTCTGCCCTGCAGCCCAAATATTAGTGAAATAAAGAAAAATTTTGTCAATCTATTTCCCAGGAGTTCTGGGAAGTGATTACAATGCAGTTGAAATTTGGATTTAGGCAAAACCATATTTTTATACTTGATGTGCATAAAGAATTGTTGTATACAAGCAAATATTTTTGATTATTCAATTTCAACAGCTGCATTTTTCCTAGATGGTAGATTTTCAACAAATTAAAGCAAAAGTTAGTTAGTTAGCTTTACTAGGAGCAAGTGAATATCATGTTTTAAAAGAAACTCTCCTTAGTCCTTCCCAAAAAAAAAACCCAACTAAAAAAGCTGAAAAAATGTGAAGTTAATCTCTCAGCTCTTTCCAAAAAGCTTTTCGATGATTGAAATATATTTCTTTCACATGGTGTCAGTTCTGTCTTTTTCTTTGCACTGTTCTTGGCGTGTGACAGTGAGGCACAAATGGCTTCCTTGCATTTTGAGTTCTGCCCTGGGCGGGTCAAATAATGAACACAAAAGGTGGAGCACACATCTGTATTGGGGAGCCAGGGATAGGAATGGAATAACATCCTAAAATACAGGAAATCTTGACCAAGATTTTTTCATAAATTTTCAGAAAGTAAAAATTCCCAACTGTGCTCTGAGCTGTTCTTCAGCTGTGAGCTGTGTCAGTACTGAATAAATTTAGGAAAGTAGGAGGCAGAAGATGGGTAGTAGAAGGCAGGGAATGCTGGTTAGTACACACTGAGAGTGCACTTTTTTCCATGGTTTTATTTAGCTCTTATCTCTAAGCAAGATAATACAATTTTTAAAATTTGATTGTGTATATCTGTCTAAAAAGAATGAGTGCAGGGACTTTTGCAATTGCTAATAAATGTTGGTTTTATTATTGCTAATAAATGCCTTTTTCCTTTCCACAGGTCCTGGTTTTGATTTCAGATTGCCTCTGCCCAGCCAAGTCAAAACACAGTGCTGAAACACCTGGTAAGAACTGTTTAAGAGGCTGAGAAGCTGTAGAATTTGTAGGAGGGCAATACACTGTTCAGATTTTAGGTGTGAGCCAATAATCCAGGAGCCAAGTAAAATTAGTTTGTCTTTGCTTTGTAACTCAGTGGAATAAAATGAAAGTCTGTGCCTGCCATGCAAGGAAAATAAACAGAAATGGAGGAGAAATCTACTGAAGGTTTAAGGAAATAACTGAAAAATTAGTAAAAGCTTTTTAGTCACAGAACGGTTCAGGTCGGAAGGGACTGTAAGAATCACCCGATTGCAATCCCAGCTGGAGTAGTAACCGTGATCCATGCTGATGCTGATCAGTGTTTCAGAGCACGCCCCTGCACCTTGGGGCCCTGCCGTGCGGGTCGGTCTAACCGCGGTCTGTGCTTTGTTTATTAAAAGCCATCCCCGCGGAGAGCGCGGAGAGCGCGGCGCTGGAGGAGCCGCGGCAGGCGGCGCAGCTCGCCGAGGACCTCTCCGACGGGGACGATGCAGCCAACTCCAGCGCTGAGCAGTCGGAGGAGGATTTAGCACTTGGAAAAGAATCAGGGGGAGAAGAAGGGGAAGACTCAAGCGAGCAGCCTCTAGCTGAGTCAGAGACTGAAAGCACAGTGAGGCAGCGCAAGAGTCAGGGGGCTGAGAAGGAGCTATAGTGTTCCCAGTGGTGTCTCTTGCACGCTTGGACCAAAGAAGTGTCAGACCCCTCCCGGGTCTGAAGCTGGAGCTTACACTTGATTTGTCGTTGGTGTTTACGCAAAGCTCTGCTCTGCCAGCAGGCTCCTCTTTTTTTAAGCTTAGTACTTGCTTACTTTCTTTGATAAGCACATTTGCTGTGTGTTGTGTGACCTTAGCCGTGACAATCAGAATCAGTGTCTTATCTGTTCCATGTCCTCAGAGAAAATGGGGGTGTCAGCCTCAGTTCACCAGCTCTGAAATGATCATTGTGTGTGTGTCCCTCTAAGGACTGACCTGAGCAAGATCAGGGCTTTTAACTCCAGGGTAGCTTGGCAGGACTGTGACTTTTCTGTCTGAATGTTGATTGTTCCCAAATGCCACAGAAGCACAGAGACAATTCACTAGTGAAAGGAGGCACCTTACTGGTCTTCTATCAGAAATGTTGTGTACCATGGGTTTGTTTTTATCACTTTCAGCTGAAGCACCTTTCTCTTCCATTCCTATTTGTGTTTGTTTTGGAAGTTGATCCTGCAGCTCACCCCCAGATGTGTCAGTTTTTGGTGATCTAGAGTGCAGCTTGAGTTATTTGACCCAAGGAGTTGGAGTAATTAAAAACCTCAGGCAGAAGGAGAGTGGCAGCTAAATGTTTAAAATGTGTTGGGACTTCTAGAAGGTTTAAAGGAAAGTATTTTGGTTGGGGGGAAATTTTGCCAAAGCACAACTACTTTTTTTTTTTTTCTTTTGGTAGTTTGTTCCCATCAGGAGGTTGTAGCAGGAAGTATTCACTTTGGAGTCAGTAAGTTGTGTTTATCTTGCCAGTGCAGGTTTGTCATGTGCAGTGCAGTCCTGCCATTTCCAACTCAGAATGCTTTTGGCAGAACTCAGGCTGCTTTAGTGATGCTGTCTGAAGAGGCACTTTGGGTTTTACCTTTGATCACTTTTCTACTTTTGGAATCACCACGCTGGGGAAGGAGAGGGGGCACAGGTGGGTAGTGGTGAGGAGCTTTGGGTTTTGCTGCTTCTGTCAGAACAAATGTGCACATGTTGAACTGTGTAAAGTGAAATTGGCTCATCAGGTAGACAGCATTAGATGTGGTTAGATTGGGTCATTAAACATATCAGTGTCTCACTCCTTTGGGTTGATATGTGAGTCTTTTTTGGTGAGGAGTACCCTCCATGAGATCCTGTATGTTCCTGCTTTGTTGATGTATGACCATGAACGTAAGATATGTCCTGATCTTGATATTATTTTAAAATATATATATATTGCATAAATCTTGCTAACATGCATGAGTTTCATCTTGTTCTTCAAGAACAAAGAGTAGTCAGAGATGAGATCATCTCTTATTAGAAGCTGCAAGTGCAAAATGCTGGTTTCCTTTGAGACTGAGATTAATAGGGCCAATTTGTGTTGAAAGCTGTTTTGTTGTTGTTGTTTTTTAATGCTTATAAAGAACATAATTGCCAAGAAAGCTCAACTTTCCCATCTATGTCCTGTCCCATATGTTTTCAAACTGTATGGTGGAAACTCTGCATTTGTCTGGTAGAGCTGCTCAAAGAAGAAAATTACACTGCATATCTGAACTTGTAATTTCTAAGGGAGTACTCCCAGTCTGGAGTGTGAGTTCCATATAGTGGACACCTCTAAATGTGCTTTCACATAGGTGGAAACATGGACTTGATGCTATCTGTGCATTGCACTATCTTGAGAACAGCTTGTGCTGTTTGGGTGCTGTCCCATGTGACTGAGCTGGTGTAGAGCTCCCTCAGCAGAGGGGAGGCACACAGCAGCCTCCTAAAAGCCACACTTCTGTCTGCAAAACCAAGAAAACTTTGTGGCACTGCAGTGTGAGGAGAAGAACTGTGCACCTCGAAGACAAAAAGGTGTTCCCACAAGAGTTGTGTTTCCCTGTGGATTTCACAAGCAAACCAGGCCCCAATGGCACTTTGTCCTAAAAGGCACGTGGTCTGTGAGATGCAGGAGCCCCTTGGTGTGGTGTGTGTGAATTCTCTGCTCACATTTCCTCTGTCGTGGCACGGCACAGTTGGGTTTGGATTATTAAAACCCAGGAGGTGAAGTGTTTCCCATTGTGCCAGATGAGCAGGGATTAAGTAAGCAGGCAGCAGGTGACAGCAGCTTAGATCTGTCTGGTGAATCTAGAAATGATGAGCTTGGTCAAGCTGCTGAGGATTCTTGAGCACAGGATGGGTGTTGTTCCTGTGTTTTCATGAATAAAGTAGGGAATATTAATGCTGACTGGGTTTGACCCTATCTGATGTGTGTTGGTGTATCTTATGGCAAAGATCACTGAGCTGTGGTTAAGGCTTTGCTCAGAAAAGGTGAGACTGTGCAACCATTGATCTCTCCAACTTCATTTTATGTTTGTAGGAAAATTACTGTAGTGTGATACTGGAGATAGTCAGTTTTGACTAATATTGATCTGGGAAACAGCAGGCAGCAAACACTGTAAAGGCTAAATTTTTGTTTAACAGAAAAACTATTAGCTGTGCAGTAGAAGTGTCATGTTAATATACCTTCCAGGATCAGGTATTTTCCACTAAAAGCATTTTAATTGAATCATGTGAGTAGTGCTAATTAGACTGTGACAATAGTTTTAAACTTGGTGTGTTTCCAAAAAGTCAGGATCAACCTTTTGTGCAATTGGGTGTACTGTTCTCTCTGTTCTGTTAGGATTAATCATGAAGAAATGGAATTTGTTCTTGCAACCTCAGTATAGACAAAAGAGCCTTGGAGAAGCTGCTGTTGGCACTGTTCAAAATGTTTTGATGAAGGACAGGGCCTTAAGGCTTGTGAACTAGAGCTGTGTGTCAAAATTAATTTAAAAGTGTTGAGAAGCAATTTAAATATCAATTGGGCTGCATGCCACTGGAATGGGAATGCTTAACAGCAAGTCATGGAAAAAATCTGGTAGGTTCCTTTTTCAAGAGGCGGAAATCCATCCAGCATTCCAAACCTCCTGTCCTTGGGATCTGTGTGAAACTTGTATGTGTGTCTTGGAATGCTCTGTATTTACTGCCCCCGTGGGGGTGGCACGTGTTATGTGGGTTTTCTTCTTGCAAATGTTACACAGGGTCGTCTGTTACACGAAAGTGTTGCAAATTTATACTTAGGCGTATTTTTACTGAAATGCCACATAAAATTTTGTATTTATGACCTGCTTGGAGTCATTTTCATTTCCTCAGTGCAGAGTTGGCTCATCTGTGTTGTTAACAAAAGGTTGGGTTTGTTTGGTTTTTTTTAATAATGCTGATCTTCCCAATAATCATAGAGGTGAAGATTCCTTAAATTCTTTAAAAGGAACCTGGACATCAGTGAATTGTTTCCTTTTGGAGGGTTTCCCTGGAGGAACCCAGGGCTCTCAAAGGTTCAGAATGGAGCTGGGCAGAACAGCATAACTGAACCTTTAAAGGCTTCACCTCCACCTGAGGTAGTTCCTTCCCCTCCCTGAGAAACCCCCTAACTCTGCCAAAGCTGTGCTGGCTCCCTCTGGGATTTGGAGGCCAGAAGGAAATGTACAGACCCAAAGGAGCCATCCTGAGGCTGTGGTTCACATTCCACAGTGTGCAGGCTGCAGGGGCAGCTGTGCAGAGGGAGAAGGGACTGCCAGGAACCATCCCTGTGACCTCCTTGGGCAGTGTGAGCAGCTGCTGGGCCTGGCACCTGGACTTGTACTGCTCAGGTGAGTTACCTGAGAATGGATCAGCTGCAGGTCCCTGAGAAGGGACTGCCAGGAACCATCCCTGTGACCTCCTTGGGCAGTGTGAGCAGCTGCTGGGCCTGGCACCTGGACTTGTACTGCTCAGGTGAGTTACCTGAGAATGGATCAGCTGCAGGGCCTGGGCCGTTTGCCACTCACTTTGCTTTTCTTCTTTCCCACTGTGTTCATTTCTGGATGCAAAGTGGGAGTTGGAATGGTATCAGATGAAGCCACAGGAGCATTTTGTTTGCTGCCTCATCAGCTGCTTCTTGTTCTCTTCTGTGACGTGAGAATATGAAATTTTCTCCATGAGAACATCACGTGGAATACTACAGGCAAAATTGGATCAAGTTTTGATCAGGTTCAAGCAATCAGACAAATCCAAGGTCTACTTTTGTAGAGGAAATACTGAAGAGAACTAAAGTGGTAGAAAAGCTTGATTTCTCCATCTGGAACTGGACCAGTGGTAAGTCCCAGCTCTGGGAGTGCAGCTGCCCAGTAGTGTGCTGTCATTCCCTTCTGCTGGGGAGCAAGATGTGTTTCACTTCAGTAAGTACTGTGGTGATGATTTATTTTTAACCAAACATCTTCACTGCTCTCCCATTAGGAAAAACACCTAAAACTCTCTGCTTTTACTTTCACTTCATCTTTCCTGAGGAGAAAGGAAAGCTCCATGTTTAAACATACAGGGAACAAATGGGGATGTAGTTATCCTAACATTTTCATTTAAATTTCCATTTTACATGGAAAGGCTGTTTTTTATGGCTCATTAGAATTACTTGGAGCCTGCTGGTACCTCAGACTTTTACATCTGTTGATCTGGATTGCAGGGGAGTGTGGGAGCTGAGCTGCACACCACGGATTTTCCTGGCACAGGCTGGGCCCGTGCCTCACGTGCTTGCAGAGCATGCAGGAAGAGCAGTGGCCGTTCCAAGTGTCAGTCACACAGCAGGAAATTACAAGATTGCCTTGATGAAGGACACTTTTTATGTCTTTGTTGCTGTGGTTGTGGGGACAAGAGTAACACTGGGACCTTCTTTGTAAATGTGCCCTGGGTTGGTTTCATTGCACTCAGAACCACCCAGCTCCTCCCAGGAGAATCGGTGCCCTGCTCAGTGCTCCACTCCTCTGCCATCCCAGCAGGCTCCAGAATTCCCAGCTCACTTCCCAAAATAGACATCCAGGGCCTGTTCCAGCCACCTGCTGCGTGGCCAAGGAGCTGTCCTCATCCCTGCAGCATCCCTTGGCTTGGTCTCCCACAGTGGAGTTGCCAGATGCTGCTGGGGTGAAAACTCCACAAATATTTTCTGTTGGTTCTCCTGGCTGGCTTGGAGGGGACAGGATGAATTGGTTCAGCTTTGACTGATGAGAGATGCTGTCCAAAAACCCTCTAAAAATGAGTGTTTTATGATTTCATTTGGAGAAATTGTTTGTGGGGAATTCAGAAGCCAGAATAACTGTTTTACTTACGTAAGGTACTTGATAAAACAGCTTTGCACAAGTCTTGAGAAATGGTTTGTACACTAAAATATTTGAATTCTATGCTGCAGTTAACTTTTCCAGTTAATCTTTACTGCAGTTAACTGAAGTGAGAAGGTCCCAGCTGGGTCATCTTTCCTCTGCAGAGGTTTTTGTGTGCTGACAGGAGACTGTTGATGTTGTCTCTCTGATCCTGCAGGAGGACACAGGCCCAGGCTGGAATGCTGTGCAGAAGTCTCCCTTTCTAGCAAGTCACATCATCAGGACAAGCACGTTTTGGTTTTGCTCCTAAGTCTTTAATTTTTTTTGGCTTTTGCAAGCAGTGCTTTCTAAGCCACAAGTTGTGAAGGTTCAGTAACCCTCTGTGGGGTTTTTCCTCCAGAATTTGTGATTGACCTTTCTGAACCACAGTGAAAAGTTTGCTCTGCAGAGCCTGGTTCAGCTGAGCTCCAGGTGTGACCCCATTCTCTGTTTGTAGCTCCTGCCAGAGGAACAGGGGAGAAGCAGGAGATGTGGAGGGGATGTTCACACTACCCTGACCCTGCTGGGTTTTTTGACATGGACTGTGGCAGTGAGGTTTGCGTGGTTGCTCGGGCAAGCTCCTGGCTGTTCAGCCAAGAGGCCATTCCTTGGCTCCAGGGTTAAAGGTCAGACAGCCAATGCCTCATTAAGCAGCCAGGCCAAGTCTCCAGAGAAATTCATTAAAATGAGGAGCCAATTACTTGGAGGGAAGCTGTGTGGGTTGGTGTCAGATGTGCTGGCATTAAATTTCACGTTTTCCTTAGTTTTGCTTCCCTTGTGCTGGTACTGGCACCTTCCACCTCAGCCCAGCTCGGCAGCTGGCCAGCATGGCAAGTGGTGGATCCTGCTGGAGGCTCCACTTCCAGTTGGACCCCTGAGCTCTGTGGAGCATCCCAAGGTGTGTTGGCTGGACTGCAGCAGGAATTCAGTGGTCCCAGGGGGGCTTTGGGGTGTGACTGGCACATGTGGGAGGATCCATAAAGGATGGCACCTGAGAAACTTCACACAGGGGAGGGAAGAGCAGCTCTCAGCCCAAGTGGTGAATAATGACAAAGTAAATCACCAATATCCTGTGAATGTGGCAGAGAAGCATCTAAGTGGAAAAATAAATAAATATCAGGGTGGGAAGAGTTTTGAAGAGTACAGACATTATGGAAATGGGGAGAGGGGAACTGTAGTGCCACACTATTGTTGCCTCCAGAAGTTTTTGCAACTTCCCAACATAAAAACCTTCATTAGGGTTGAGTTCAACTGCACATATTAGAATGTTCAGCTATCATGCAGCACTTGCTTCTCATGCTCCAGGATAAATACCTGTTTTTAGCACAGATGATGCAAACTTTAAATAAATGCAAGCAGACGTGTCCCCGGTTGTTTGCTGCAAGCGCAGTGAAATGCCAAGGTTAAAGCAGTTTGCATTTGAATTGTTTCTGACACTGATATGTGACAAATGCCTCGTGGTGTAATTGTGTGTAAATTGATATTAATGTGCAGTCTGCAGCTGAGAAAATGAATATATACACATGATATAGTCTTAATTTCTCTGTCAAACAATTACTGTAAACCCGTTTCAAACTCTGCATGTGTCTTAAAATGTAAAACAAGGAGAAATCAAGAAATGTTAACCAAGTCTGTTACACTTTGGATGAGCGTGTGTCTTTGATAAGATGATTTTATTTCCAGCCAGTGAGTGCATCTGATTCTTTAGGAATAACGAGAGCCCTCTGGGTTATGGAGATGGAATTACCTGGAAATCAGGAGCCGTTTGCCCAAGGATGTCTGGCAGCTGGGTCTCTGCAACTGGCCTTGGAATCCAGGATTCTACTGGGAATAACTGCAATCTCACCTGTGTTAGGTGTTACCCTAAATGTGCAGGCTGAGACCTGCTTTTAGAAATCATCTAAATCATGATTTTGCTTGTTGGGTGTGAGCACACTCTTTCTGCTTTCAGTCTCCTGGATATTTTGGATGACAGAGGGGAACGTACATTCCTGTTACTGGAATCTTAATATTTCTTTCCTTGCTTACTTATTTTCTTATCTTTTACCTTATTTTATTCTGTTATGTTTTAGGTTGGCCTTGACCACATGAACTAAAAGATGGTGCTGAAGTCCAATATGACACAAGAAGTTGGTGTATTTATTTATTTTTTTGTGGGGGGAGAATGTAGACAAGTTGACTCCTGATGAGGTCCCATATTAATGATTTACAGGCAAAACTCCAGAGTTTAAAAGAGAGGGAATAAACTAACCCAGAGACATCTGCAGACATGTCTGGGAAGCCAGTGTGCATTGCAGATTTTGAGGAGCATGCTAAAACCTTCCTGCCCAAGTCCGTGTACGATTATTACCGATCTGGGGCGGATGACCAGGAAACCCTGGCAGATAATGTCGCAGCCTTTTCCAGGTAGGAGGATGATTGAAGGCTGGGGTGGGAGGCAGGGGGTGTAAGTTCTGCTTTATTGGTAGATGTGGGGCAATTTTAGATTTTTCCCTGTGAACAAAACTCAATTTCTCTGCAACGTCTTTCTATTTTAGCAAAAAGACTCTCAGCTGATTTTTCAGGACAGCTCACTCCCCTTCCACTCCTCCACCTAACAATTTCTGTCAAAAAGCAGTCCCTAAAATCCATTAGCACCTTTTTAGTTTTGCCTGCATTTGGGATCTTTTGTTAGCAGAAATTCTCTCCAGAGTCTTTCAGCTCTGGTATTTAATCAGCCAATGAAACTGTCATTTCTACATCTTGGGTTACAGTGCCAGCAAGGGGTTCTTGGGGTGGAGTTGTGCTTTTTAGGTCCTTAGTTTTGCCTTTTCCTTAGCTCCCCCAAACCGAATTAGTGCTGTGGCCTTCCCAGGTGAGAGCTGCAGGAAGGAGTTGCATTTCCCAGCTCTGGGGCGAGCTGGGAAAGCCAGGGCTCAGTCCTGGCTGGCCCAGCTGTGCTCAGGGGTTTCTGCAGGAGGTCAGCCCTTCACCAGGAGAGACTGTAAATGCTGGGAACTGTTCTTATCCAGTTTTGACTTGGACTGATCCCCTGAAGTGTTGTAAAAACGTGAGCTCGGGTCAGCCTTAGCCTCAGAAGCACAAGGTCAGCACGAAGTCAGGGAGCACGTGCTGTGGGATTCGGTGGAAGTGTCACAAATGGCATCACATCAGTTGGCTCCCTCCTCCCCAGTGTCCCTGAGCAGGGCAGAGGGAAGGAGGCAGCTGGAGGCTGCTCCCCTCAGCCCAGCTGAGCCCAGTCAAGCTGCTCAAACAGCTGCTGACATCTCCTTCCTTCTGGGCTGTGCTGGTGCAGACGTTTAACCCCCTGCACTTCTCTGCTTTGTCTTTAGTTCCTCTGAGCCTGACAAACCAAACCATGATTGTCCTGGTTTATCCTTGCTCTTTCTCCCTGCTTTGCTTTCCTGCAGTCCTGCTTATGCTCCAGTTGCTTTTCCATAGGCTGTGGACCATTCAGCTGGAAATCTGATGCAAGTTGAAGGTTGTGGAAGACTCTGTGATAATTCATTTAGCAGGATCTCAGAGGTCAGAACCTTAATTTTAAGGTCACACATAGAAAAGCTTTATGATGTCAAGAGAAGACAACTCACCTTCACTGCTTATTCCAGACCTCCTAGCTCCATGCAGAAGCTGCCATCACAGAAATTCCCCTGCTCAAACACAAGCCACAAGATTGCCCTGAGGAGTCAATAGGAGCAGGAGGGGATGGAGATAAAAACACCTGATTTTTATTGCACCTTTTTAATGCTTCCAGATGCTCTAATGCTACTTGCACTCATAAAAGCTAAATGAGACATTAAGGGAAGGACACTCCAAGGAAGCACTTGCAGGCAATGAACTGCAGGAGCAGTGAACATTTGACTTGTAACTGCTGAAGCTGATTGTGATGAGGTGGGATCTAAAGCTGCCAGGGGCAGGCCAACAAAGAGCTGGGCACATCCCTTGCTGTGCTGGCATCAGCAGGGCAGGGAGATAAGGGCAGCTCTGCTCTGGAGCTGTTCCTGCCACAGGGGTGGATTCCTCTGATAAGAGACCTCCTTACATTGAGCTGTTTGCCTGTGGGCTGCAGGCTTACCTCATCTTTCCTGAATCTTCTATCAGATTTTCAAGAAAACCCTTCAGTTTTAGGTGTTCAAACTGTGGTGTTTGCAGGCAGCCTGGGACTGAAGGAGATGTTCATTAGCAATGCCTGAGACATTAAAAGAATTCAGTGACATTTGGTGTAGCTGAAAATCCCTGCGTGCTGGGGGTCCTCAGCAGAGTGAGGATGAAGGGGCTGGGAGGTGTTTGTGTCTTTGCTCTCCCTCCCTTGGTATTTATCTGAAATACAAGATCCCATTTTCTCAGCACGTGGGATGCTGCCATGAACAGTCCTTAGGCCATGTTTGCAATGGCTTCCTGGGAATACATCTCTAAAAGGTAGCACCTGCTGTAAAGACTGCAGTATTTTGGTTTGTAAGGCCTATTTGACACAAAGAACTTTCAAAAACCCTTCTTTTCCCTTGGATGCTGTTGAGAGAAGCATGGGGCAGCACTGCTCACTTTGACCCTCACACAGTCCTGGTGTTCCTGCCTCTTCCTGACTGCAGCTTGTGGGTAAATATAAAGTCAGATGGACTTTACACCCCCGAGGCACAAAGATCACCAAGTCAGATAATTTTGTGAAAGATAGGAGTATGTTCAGCTTCGTTTGCCATTGATTTCCCCTGTCAGAAGCCTTAGTTGCAGGGTTCAGTCTGATTTAGAAAGTTTGCAGATTAAATAATCTTTATAAATTTAAATGGAAGAGAAAGCACAAAACTGAACCAGAAGCAGGAATGGCTGGCCTGTGCCTTTATGGTGCAGGATTATTCAGGTGAGGTGTGAGGGTGGAAAACCAGTGCTGGGTTCATCTGTGAATGAACAAATCATTTGTTTTGGCAAACAAATGGTTTTATTTCTGGAGAAATAAATAGATGATCTTATTAAGGACTAGTATTACTATTGTCATTAAGAACAATCCCTAATGGGTGGTTATGGTGCTGGATCCTGCAGTATCTTTGGAACACTCCATGCAATTTTTGCCATGCAATTTTTGGAGCTGCACAGTTCATACTCATTGGATTATAAAATGAAAGTCTTGGCCTTTTGACCTTGAGGTGCTTTGTGTAATCAGATAGCAGAGTACAAACTGCCTCCACAAGGGCAGTGTTTGAGGTGAGTTTGACACCAGGTACAGCACCTCTCCCCCAGCTGCCAGCCCTTCTGGGACTGAGGGAAGAGCCAGCACTTGGGTGTTGACATCAGGGTGTTCCTGCTGAGGCCAGACAAGTATTTCTTATCCCTAGTTCCCAAATGGCCCTGGCAGAAGTGAGGCATTAAGGCCAGCAGGATGATTTGGGATGGCAGAGCATATGTCATTGCCTGTGGTGCCTGCCTGCCTTCTCCTTGGCTTTGCTCTGCATCCTGGAATGCCGAGTGCCCTCCCAGGCCTGTCTGGAGCTGAAATCCCCTCTCGAGCTGTCTCTGAAGTGCAGGGCCTGAATGGAGAGGAGATTTTTGTGACAAGGTCGGGCTGCCTTTAGCTCGATGGCGTTCAGGAAATCAGTCTGGAGCCTCCCCTCTCGGCGTGCCAGGGAGGGGGGATGTGGAGCAGGCTCCTGCTAATCCACCCTGCCATGGACTTCCCGGAGGCCTTGGGAGAAGCTGCCTTGTTCTGTCCTGTGCAGGGAACAGCAGCTGCTTCTTCAGCAGTGCCAGCATCAATGCAGACTTTCTGCAAACGTGCTGTTGCCTTATAGCAATTAAAGGCATTAAAGTGGCCACAGAAGTAATTTAAACACTGGTTAGAAAAGCAAGGCTGATTGTGGGACTGGGTCAGACAAGTCTGGAAAGTTCAGGGGAGAAAAGAAAAGGAATGCTTGGAATAATAATTTAGTTGTGTTGTTGTGATGTCTTTCACCTCAGATTCCCAGTGCGCTACAAAAAGAGTGTGGATGGCACAACATGCTGGGAGGGAAGAGAACTTTCCCCAAGGAAAAGCAGCTGTTGCTTAGCCTGGCACAGCACCAGCCCCTGAAGGGAAGTGGAGCTGTAGGAGACAGAAGGGCAGCAAACTGGGTTGGGTTTAGGATGGAGGCTTGGCCTGAGCAGTGTGTCTTTTTCCAAATGTGCTTCTTGCCCTGCAGCACGAGGGGATTTGGGGCAACTCGGGAGAGGAACAAGAGGAGCTGCTTGAAAATATGGTGCAGTTTGGAAATGTCAATGCTTTCCCCAGCTGAAAGCAGCCAGTGCTTCCCTCTTACCCCACTGCAAGGTAATTTAGAAACAAAATTTTTTGAGCATGGAGAAAAAAGGAAAGGACACAAAAGATTAATCCCCCTTCCTTCCCTTTAATCCTTCCTGCAAAACAGCTTTTAGCTGAAGCTGCCTAAATCAGGAGCCCTCACTGCTTTCCCAACTGCAGCACCTCCTGCTTCCAGCTGGGAAGAAGGATGCATTCACTCTCAGTTGCTGATTGCAGCACACGACTGTGGACTTGGCTGGAAAAAGATGTGGGTGCTGAGGAGATGGTGAATTAAAAAAAAAAAAAATCCAAGTTTTTTTCCAAAATATACAGAAAATGTTTCACTGAAGGACTTGGAGGAAGCAGGTGCTGTGTGCAGCCGAATGACTGCGTGCCCTGGTGGTGGGGAAATGCTGCCTGTGAGGTTTCCTTGCTGCTGTGGAGGGCATTTCCCTGTCCAGACAACGCCTGCTTTCAAGTGCCTGTCAAACTCAGAGCTGGAAACACCCGAGTTGCCAAAGCAAGAGCATGTTTTACTGAAGAATGATGATACCCAGGTAGTGAAGCTGCTTGGTGTTTTTGTGGGAGCGCTCAGTTCTGGGTCAGGAGCACTGACTGGGTGCTGGGTGAGAGGATGTGAGCTGATCAGGGCTCTCTGCTCAGGACTGCATCACTTTTCTGGCATGCACTCCTGGGAGGATTTTGGCTCCTCCTGTTTCTCTTCCCAGCCAAAAGCACCACAGGGATGTTTTACCTCGGGACTGACCCTCACAGGCCGGCTGTGAGATGGCAGTGGCAGGAACCAATCTGAGAAACCAGGAGCCTGGGGAAGAGGGAGATGCTTCACATCCTTCATGCTTTGGGGTTTGACTATAAATCAGCAAGGTTTTTTGGTTTTTGGGGATTTTGGTTTTCTTTCTTTGCTGGGAGAAGATACCTCAGGGCAGAGTGGAAGCCTTTGGAATGAGGATTAGGAAAAAAAGGGGGAGAAAGAAGTCCTGTTTTCTTTGTCCCACCCTCACCCATCCTCCCCTGAAAAATAACAAACTGCTACAATGGCATGAAAACAAGTGTGAGGAGATGTTCCTGCCGTGTGTGTCTTGGCTCTGAGCAGCACAGCTGACTTGCACAGCCACACATCTCCTTCCAAGCATCATAACTGTCCTTCTCCTCCCTGGGGAGCACTGCCTGCAGAGCTGGCACAGCCCCAAGCCCCATGCCTTCAGAAAGGTGGGTCTTGTCCTGGCTCTGCCCCAGGCTTTTGGGGAAAATGTCTCTTGATCTTTCTATAAAACAGTTTTTGTCTTTTTTTCCCCTGAATTTTCATGTTAATGCTCAAGTTCACCTCTACTCCCTGTCGGAGAGCAGCAGTGGCTCTGGTTCTCTCTGCTGGTAATTATAATGTTATCAGTCTCGAGCATTCTGGTGCTGAGCAGTTGCTCAAGTTCAGCTGTATTAGACCATATATTTTTAATTCTTCTCTGTAATTACAGTCCAGGAGCCATGGGAGCCCTTTTGGAGGGAGGGAGGGAGGCCTCGGTGAGAGGTCGGTGCTTGCAGGGAGGCTTTGGCTGAGCCCACCGGAGGCAGCCCCAGGTGTTGCACCCCCTCTTGTGGCTTCTAGTGGTGGCAGTGCTGTGACAGACCTGGACAAGTCCCACGGCACAGGAATCCCCAGGAATGCAGCCCTCCTCATAAAACTCTGGATGTTATGGTGTCTAGTTGATCCCGTAACAGGGATCATGGTCTTCTGATGCTGTTTTCCTGTGTGGGACCAAAAAAAAAAAAGGTAAATTTCTGTGTGCAGACACGTGGTGTCCAGCCTGGCTGCAGCAAACTGTAATTTCAGGTTAAGTGTGGTTTAGTTTGCTCTGGTTTGGAAAAGGGAGTTCCAAGCCTGCAGGCCAGGCTTGTGTTACCAATAACCCCGTGTCTGTTGGTTCCCTAGTCCATGGAAGGGATAACTCAGGCTGGCTGATGACTTTTTCCATTTGCCCACAGTGTCTGGCACCCAGCTCTGCCCCGAGGCTTTCAGGGGGCTGAGACTCACCACCAACCTCATTCCTTTAGAGCTCCTCTCTTTCCTTTCAAACAATACCAGCCAAAAGTGCTCAAGGGGTCTTTGCCTCTTTCGGCTCGCTGCTCTTTGGTCCCTGAGGGGTTTTGCTGCAGCTCTGCGTGGCACAGTGCGGTTCTGTCCCTGAGAGCCGTGCCCTCCCCGTGCTGCAGCCCTTTGCGACCCGGTGTGTCTGTGTGCCAGGTGGAAGCTGTACCCGCGGGTGCTCAGGGACGTGTCGGCGATGGACCTGTCCACCCGTGTGCTGGGGCAGAGCGTCGCCGTGCCCGTGTGCGTGGCCGCCACCGCCATGCAGCGCATGGCTCACCCGCACGGAGAGACCGCCACAGCCCGAGGTGAGCGGGGAGGGACGGCCATCCCGGCTGGGATCGGGGGGGCCGGGTGCTTCGTGCCTTTCTTTTTCACTGCTTCACTCCTCTGAGTGTGGTCTCCCTCTCCATGGAACAGTGCGGGGGGAAATTAAGGATATTTCATTTGGGGAGTAATTTGTTGTGTATAAAATTAACATCTATCTACCTATCCGTGCATTCTGTGTAGCTATAAACATTGTCACAGCAACGTTCTTCCTATTAGAGAATTGACTCTAGAAATTAATCCAACTTCTAGAGGCCTTTGTTTGCCTGGCAGAAATCCTGGCTTGGGAGAGAGCTCTTTGAGAGCATCGCAGGGAGGCAGTGAGATAAGGGCCCCTCCGGGCTAGAAGCTGCACAAAGATGTTGCCAGCACAGAGGCTGCAGCTCAAAAGGATATTAACCAGAATTCAGATGGGGAACTGTCACCTGCTCCTTTAACTCCAGCTGCAGAAAGCACCAAATCTGAATAAGAGGTGTGGGCTGTGCATTTCAGTGCTCCCAAGCTGAAAGGAAAAGGGTACAAAACCTAAATAGGCGATATTTAAAAGAGAAATAATGCTGTGCGTGGCTGGGTTGTTCACCTGACAGCGTTGCCATGGCCGGTGCAGCAGCCCCTGGCGTGAAGCGAGTCCCGCAGCGGGAGCTGCTCTCGGTCCCCATCGCTGGGCTGTGCTGCCCAGCTCCAGCGCTAGCACAGAGAACACACTGTCCATCGCACAGCACGGCTGGGGCCGCCTTTCCCCTCCCTCCCCAGAGCTCTGTGAGCTGCTCTCCCCGTTTGAGTGCCGGCCCTCTCCACGCGATGGCACTCCAGCACCTCGGATGCCTTGGGAAGGGCCCGCTGCTGTCCCAGCTTTGGCAGCTCCCGCGGATCGCTGCTGGGCCAGGTCGTGCCGGGGGAAACTCTGAAACATTTAGTGCAGACATTAATGCAATGGTGGGAGCGAGATGTGCAACACAAAATTCAGGGTGTTTCTTAGCTAAGATTCCCACTGATGCTGCAGCCTGGCACATTTTAAGGCATAAATCCTCAACGGCATGCAAAAATAAGGCTGGGTACCACATTTGCAAACTTTAACACATTATTGCATTTAATGTTCCTGGGTTTTCAAGCTGGCACAGCTCGCTGTACTGGCACCAGTTGCAATGTGTGGTCCAGTAAACTTGTCCATTGGAGCTGGTGAATTTTTCATTGCTTTCAAAGGATTAAAATCACACCCACTGTATTGCATTGGCATTTGGGGGAGAAAAAAAAAAGGCTTTGGTTTTGTGCTGTTAGAGGAGGAGAGGGACACTCAGTGCCAAGCTCTTGGTTTGACCTTATAAGATGACAGGAATTAGGTGTAAAGTACACATTTGGTTTAAGGGTTCTCTTACACTTGGGACACTCGGGATCAGGGGCTTTGCCACATCCAACTTCTGTTCCAGAGGTAGCACAGAGTTTAAGTGAGCAAACTCTTGGTTACTTTAATTCTGCTACAGCTGCACTGGTTTGCACAGCCAAGGAAGTCTGTGGCTTCTGCAAAGCCTGGCGTGCTCCATAAGCCTGGCTTTTCTTGGCTCAGGTGTGCAGGAAGGGCTCTTTGGGGTGGTGCCTCTGCCATGATCCTTGGGAGGCACAGCATGGCCTGGGTGCTGCCCCTTCCCAGCCGGTGTCCTGGGAGCAGAGCAGCCCCCAGGGCAGCCTCCCTGTGTGCCACGAGTGTGCCTTGAGGCAGCCCCCAGGGCAGCCTCCCTGTGTGCCTTGAACCCCGAGGGCTAATCCTGGCTCACAGCAGAGCAGGCTGGTGAGGAGAGCTCCTTCCCGGAGCTGCCGGGGCTTTGAGAACAGTGCTCCAGGAATTGTCCTGCTTGGAGCTGCTCTGCTCTCCCGGCAGCTTTGTCCCTGTGCTGAAGGGTGAATGTCCCCTCTGGGGACAAGGGCGTGTCACGGTGTCCCTTGGAACTCCCTGCCCTCACAGCTTCTTGCTCTGGGGCTTGGTAGTGTTTGGGGGCTGCTGCTTCCCCAGGAATGCTGTCCCACAGCAGCCAAGCTGGTGGAGAGGGGTGTGCATCTTCCCAGAGCATGGCAGGGTCTGTCAGCTCACCTGAAACAGCCCTTCATGGGCAGTTCTTTTGTGTGAGCAAAGAATCTCTAAACACCCCTTCACGGGCAGTTCTTTTGTGTGAGCAAGAATCTTTAAACACCCCTTCATGGGCAGTTCTTTTGTGTGAGCAAAGAATCTTTTCTAGGAAAAACACCCAATTGTCATTTGAGAGTTGCTGGTGGCAGGCCAGCCAGCACAATGGAAGTTATTCCAAAGGTTAGGTGAGCCCACTCTGAGCAGCATAAACTGCACTCATGGTCAAACCTTGCACAGCCTCGAATCCAGGTGTTGGATTTATGTGCATTTCTGTTAGCTAGACTTGAAAATAATAGATGAATATTTAAAAATGTCTCTGCAGGCTGTAATAAGGTTGCTCCTCAGTTTTCTCTGACATTTGTCTGAGTCCTTCCTTACAGAGAAAGCTCTCTTGTCCTTGAAACAATTTCATGCACCTTGGCAGTTGTCCCAGTTTTTCTAGGTCTTCCTTCAAGTATATTCCCTGGCATTTTAGTTGTAGTTCATCAGTGTACGTGGCAATTTTCCAAAGAATGGATTTTCTGTTCAGTAGAGACTGAAAAATTGGGAGGAAAATTGTTTTGGATTAACTGAAATGTTTCATTTGATCCAAAGCATAATGTTTTATTTCATTTTCCTACTGGCTAATGCTTTTAGCTATAGTTCTGTTTTGAAACAAAAGTGTCAGCTCAGGAGAAAACATTTCCATTTTGAAAAGATCAACACATGACATTTTGACTTAGGTGTTTTTTTCTATCCTTCCCACTCCAATTTCAACCTCTTTGACTAAAAATATTTGCCAAATTCGATGAATAATCTTAGCCACTAAAGAGCAAAAGGTTGTTCTCTAAACACTTTTCAATAGAACCCTTCTGATTCTGTGGGATCTTTTTCTCTTGCTTGTCCATCAGCAGAGTCACTGTTCCCCCATGCCAAGGCATTCGTTTGCCACCCTGACTTCATGCTGTGCTTGCAAACCAGCATGATCCCCTTGTCAACAGGACCCACCTCGAGTACTGACTCAGAACCCTGTGCAGCATCCAGCTGCTCAGCAAGAAATAGCTGAGGTTTTTTGCAGCCTTAATTGATTATGAACAGATCCATCGCATTTTTAATTGAGATTTGTGTTTATATTCCTGCTTATTCCATATTGCCTTTAATGGGTAGTTTAAACTCCTGTTTTCACCTCCCAGCAGCATTGCAGTGCCTGCCTTCTCCATGAAGGGCTGACAACCAGGCGGAGAACGCGCCTGTGCTCTTGGCCAGCTCTTTGGGGATCTGTCACTGACAGTTGCTCAGGCTGCAGTTTTTGTGTTTGCCCTGTGCAGCTGCACTCAGAGCCCTGTCCAGGCTGTGCTGACACAGGGAGGGTTTCACCATCACCTGCGACGTGACTGCACCCTTTGCTCTGCCAAATGGAGCACAGGAGTGCTGCCTGCAAAGCTGTCCTATTCCCCCTGTTTTAGCAGAGTTTCTGGCAGCTCTGTCATTCCCATGGAGAGGCACCAACACCTTTGTTCCTTTGGCTCCTGACAGGTTGCTACTGTGCTTTTTCTCTCTGTGAAGCTGAGCACTGAGATTTGGTTTTTTTCTGCCCATCAGACATGGCTGTGTCTGGAAGGAGGGATTTGGCCATTTGTTATGTTTTGTGCTCAGCCACAAAAGCAGTGGGACTTTGTACCCACCTGTTACCTATGTGGTGATTGAAAGATGAGGTTAATTTTGAGATATGAAAATTAATGTCACTCCAGAGTCGTGGAGAGAACAATATTCACATGGGACAGCGTGGCCTGGGCTGACCTGGCCTGGATTCCCCTGGAGAGCAGCAGGCTGGGGGACTCAGTGCTGCAAGTGTGCCCAGGCAGCCTGGCATGGCGGGCAGATCCCAGATCCCTTTTGGCCACGTGTCCCTTTCCCTCCAGCCCTCTTGTACAGCTGACAAAACACGTTGTGTCACGAGGGGATGGCAGGCATGGCTCTCACGCAGGGTTTGGTAGGGGCTGAGGGAGCAGAGGCTGACAGGGATCTCTCAGCCAAGTGTGGTTTGTCAAGAGAGCTACGTGGAGTTCTTTAAACAACTCTGTTTCTTGGGAGATGCAGCTCCAAGAACACGGCTGCTGCTCCTGGGAAATACCACTGTGCCAAAAGGACATGGTGTTGATCCCAAGGAATGTCCTCTGGCCCTTAGCTTGGGCACAGTGGATTCTCTGGATTCAGGGAAAAACGCCTGCAGTGGGGCAGTTTGACTGCTGGGCTTCGGAGATGCCCCTAAAAGGGAAATGATGGGAATTTGCCCAGCTAGAGGAAAAAAGCAGTTCCCATTCCCATACAAGGTAACCCCGACAAAATCTGCAAGCTTGAGCTGGGCTCCTCTCCAGTGCCCTCCCTGAAGTATTCTTCCTCTGAGCTGCCCACGGGGACAAATCCTGTACCCTTCCCAAAGCATGTAAGGAACGATGGGGACAGGATGCTCTGAGGCTTCAGGGTGAAAAAAGAGCTAAAAAAGGTCACTGCTCTGTTCCCCACTGGAGCTCCCAGGTGCATCCTGTCCCATTTGTTGCCATGTAAAACACTTCAGTTGGGTTCCCCAGGAGTGAATGGCTTCCAAGTGCCAGAGGGCAGGTTTGGGTTAGGGATGAGGAAGAGATTCTTTAGGTTCTGTGGTGCCATGGACTTCCCCAGCTCCTGTGTGTGCCCTCTGCTGTGCTCTCTGTGCTGTCACAGAGCCCAGCAGGAGCCTGCAGGGTGTGCAAGGGTCAATATGTCCTTTGGGCAATGCTCAGGATTAAAAGAAGACCTGGGAAAAAAGAAAAAACATAAAAAACAAGCAACTAAAAGCAAGCATGCAATGGCATGAGGAAAGGCTGGTTTACAAAAACATCTCCTGCTTAAACTCTGGCAAATGTCACTTATTGCAGCAAGAGCATCCTGTGGGAATATGGCTGTAGTAGGACTGATTTGAAATAATAAATAATTTGCAGCACCCCAAAAGTGAAGTGTAAAATACAGTTTTTAGAGGAAATGAATTGCTTCTGTTTTCTTCAACTGCAGCTAAATTTGTGAGAAGTTGGAGTGTATTTTTAGAGAAACCTAATTTGAGGTAGAAAAAAAAAAAACCCAACCAAACCTGGCAGCACTTCAGGCCTCTGTATCTCATGGTTTTAGAAGTCTAGAAAATTGTCAAAATAAGCTTTAAAATTATCCAGATCAAGGACAAATCGACCAAAACTGGAACTGGAAACTTCTAAAACCCTGAAAATTTTTGTCTGTGAACTTTGGATTTGCCTGGGAGATCTAAACTGCGTGTGTTGAGCTGGTGCTTCACCAGAGAGCTGTGAACTTTAAGGAGAGGCGAGGGGAATTTTGTGAGCATGCTTGCATGAAAATGCCATAACCCCGTTTGGGATGGCTGAACTCTCATTGAACCAAACTGCTTAAACCTGATCTTAAATAAGAGAAAAGCACTATTTTCTCTGTTGTTACATGTACAGCTAAGTTGAAAGGATATGGTGGTATCCCATGATTTATATCTTCTCTTCACCAAAAATGTTTTATTGTGCAGTTTCTAACTAAATCTTTGCTTTAGCAATAGAGGTAGATGTGGGAATAAAAGGCAAAAATGGAAATGAATGGATACCTAAAGGCAGATTGAACCATAACATTTACATTTCTCCCTTATCTGATGTGAGGGTTTTGCAATTCCTGGGTTCACAGCATTCCTGGTGTAGAGGGAACCGTGTCCAGCAGTTTAAAGGAGAGCAACGGGATGGTTACGAACCGGAGAGCTTTGGGTGATTGCTGCTGTATTTCCAGTGAGGGAAAACTGGCTGGTGGCCCTGGGAGGGTGTAACCAATTTGTTTGAATAAGCTGTTCATAAGTTTCCACTCCAAGAGGCTTGTAATCCTTATTTAATAAAATGTTGTCATAAAGACCACTTTTTAATTCCTCCATGGGCTGGGGATGACGTCTTGAAACAGAGGTCCATTTACATTAAAAATATGCGTACTGTGGTAGACCAAGGAAAACAAGGCTCTCTGTAATATTTCTGAATTCTACAGCGTGTTTTCCCTTTATTTTCCAATAAGTGACAGATCACTCCAAAAAGAATAAGTGATAATTCCATGAAAACACATTTGTATGAGGTTAGTATTAGGTGCGGAGGGCGATTTTTGGGGAGGCAACATGGCAACATCCAAAACTCTGGAAGCTTTAAATGCACTTACTCGAATGCTGCTGTCTAGATCCTCTCTCTGCGTTCCCGCAGCCTGCCAGGCCGTGGGGACAGGGATGATGCTGAGCTCCTGGGCCACGTCGTCCATGGAGGAGGTGGCGGCGGCGGCGCCGGGCGGCCTGCGCTGGCTGCAGCTCTACGCCTACCGCGAGCGGCGGGTGACGGCCGCGCTGGTGCGGCGCGCCGAGGCCGCCGGCTACCGCGGCATCTTCCTCACCGTGGACACGCCCTACCTCGGCCGCCGCCGCGCCGACGTGCGCAACCGCTTCCAGCTGCCCCCGCACCTCAGGTACCTGCGCTGGGGACAGGGCAGCGCCGCCGAGGCTGCCGAGGGAGAGGGTGGCGCTGGGGACGGCTGCTTCGGGGCAGAACGAAGCTGGCCTGGCTCTCTGCACGCTGTGAAAGGTGCCCCACGTCTCTTACTTCAGCTGAACTAAGAGATGGGGGGCAGTTCTTTGTGCTTGTGTCAGTGGGTTCTTGGCTATCTTCAAACCTCAGCCGGGCAGAGCCGGAGTGACCTGCTCTGATGTTGAACTGGGATCCAAAAGGGGTCTGGACTTAGTGGGCCAAAACTCCATCCCAGAAGATGTCATGGTTCCTTCTGTGTTGTCCTGTGACACTGCTCTGGGTCCAGGGCCATGTTGGTACCAACTGCAGAGCCCCTTTTCCAGCAACTTCAGCTCTTCTTTTACTCCAAAGCAGAAACGTATGGGTATCAGTCTTTCTCTTCTTCTACTCCAGTGCAGAAACACATGGGTATCAGTCTTTCTCTTCTTTTACTCCAATACAGAAACATATCACTATCAGTCTTTCTCTTCTTTCACTCCAGTGCAGAAACACATGGGTATCAGTCTTTCTAAGTTCTGTGTGAAGGCAATTGTTACCCCACAGTGTGTTTTGGGACGTTTTCTGTGTCTCAGAATTTGTGGCATCATGGTTGACTTCAGCACTAATTCTATTTCCTCCCCACTGCAGGGCCAAAGAGGAATTCAATTTTAACAGAGTTAAACCAGGATTTTAACCTTACAAAGCTGTTTAAGGGTATTGATTTGCCTGGCCTTTTGTAAATATGAATTGATAGACTGTAGAGACTCCCCTGATAAACACATACTGAAGTGCTGGCACAGTTCTAGCAGCCAAGGACTGGCTGGAAGAATATTTACTCAATGGGATATCCAGGACTTGAAGCTAAAAATCTTGCAAGGTTCTTGTATATAGACCTTGGTAACAACCACAGTCTACATGGCACATGTTAGAATTATTTAGAGCATGAAAATGAACACAAAAATAGAGAGACAGAGAAAAAAGACAGCTTAATGTATTTTGAAGCAGATAAACTTTGAGGTGAGTTCTGGGTGAAAGCTAGTTTTGAATACTATCAATGAAATTGAATTGTTCTTCCTGTGTCTCCAAAGACTGCTGTGTTATGCTGTACACACATTGTAAGTAACATGTACTTAGCAAGAATCACATCCAGAGGTTTCTCTTCATTTCCATACTATTCAAAAGGAGGATAAGCCATGGGGCTCTGCAGGGAATCTGATTCTCTACCTTGCTGACAAAAGCCCCTCCAGGGCTTGGGTGCTGGCTCTCCCCTGTGCACTTGTACTTTCAGCTAAGAGATGAAAGTTGACAGAGCAACCTGAACTCTGATTTCTCTGTTAAAGTACAGTTTTAGGAGGAAAGCACCAGAAAGCAAAAAAGCCCTAATGCAGCTAACATGAAAATGTACCACACTGGTATGTGTGTGCCCTATGTTGTAATCGTGCTAGAGATCTGTGTTTGACACATTATCAATATATACTGACCTTTCACTCTGAAAGATAAAATTAAGCAATTGTTAAAATCGCTTGCTTTTTCGGGGCAATAGAATTTTAAGGCCTGGGGTTGAGGAGTTCTTGAATGTGAGTCCAACAACCCAAAGACGTTTGAGAAAAGCGGGAGAGCGTTTCTGAAGCACTCTGACCCCACCCCAAATGTATTTGTTATATTTGCCCAAATATAACAAGGTTTCGAGTGAACAGGATGAAATCACGAGAAATTGGAGTAATCCTTAAAGGTTCCAATGAATCACTGCAGATTCCCGAGTGCTGCTGGGGCCGTGCTTTGTTGCAGAGGCCGCGGTGAAACTCTCCGAGCGCGGGGCTCTGCTCATTTATGTGATAACTTTTTCTTGGCTTCGGGTTTTCAACAAAGTTTCAAAGCAACAACAAGGTGCCATTGTGCTCTGAAATGTATGTAAGGCAACATTCATCCAAGTGTTGATCTGCCTTTTGCAGGCCAAGAAAAACAACAGTTATTTATATAATCTTATCCATGGTTCTGTTTTTCTCTGGGCACCCCACCCTCCACAAACCAACAGCTGAAAAGCTGGATCTTGCTGAGAGCCTGCTCCTTTCTCATTTGCTTCTGGGCCTGGAGCTGGACAGAAAAGCCATGTGAAATGCTGCTTGTTGCAGGCATGAAATCAGCAGTGAAACCAGCCAGGTTCCATGCAAAAACACTCGTGCACTTCCCAAAATGTGAAATGTGAGGATTAAATAGCCCAATGTGGGACAGGACACAGTTTCAGAAGAGCAGGGCAATTGGGACATGGATGTGCTAGAACCTGTGAGATTTTGTTGCTGAAAAGCCGAAGTAACAGCAATGTTTCCACATGAGCTTCCTTTCAGCCCTACATTTTACAAGGAAATGTACAAAAGGGACACAAGGTAAACAGGCTGGCTTGTTGGCCTTATTGGACAGATGGAAATTCTGAATTCTTTGCAAGGCTTCATGGACATCCATCTGTTTCATGGGGCTTAAGAAAACTTCATTTCCTCCCTGATCCCCTATTTCTCTCATAGCTGAATTCCCTGGATTTGAAAAACAAAACCCAACCCTATTTGTTTTGCTATAGAAGTCAGACTATTACCTTGGGCCAGAGAAACTTGCCCCAGGTTTACCACAAAACCATCACAGGACGATAGAAAGGCTTGGGTTGGACGGGACATTAAAGATCCAGTGCTTGTGTTGATTATCAAATGCTTTGTCAGCCAGAGGTTTTGGGATCTGATGGATCAGAGGAGTGGGATCTGATATGCTGGGACTGGCTGGTTTTGCTCGTGCCCTGCAGTGCAGCAAAGCTGTGACTCAGGCACATTGAATGCTGGCATTGGGGACCCATTGTGACCACAGCAAATCCTCCTCGGACTATTTTTCTGTGTCTTTTGTCACCTTAGTTTAAAGAACTTCTCGAGCAGCGAGCTGGCATTTTCCTCAGGGAAGGACTTTGGAGACGACAGCGGGCTGGCCGTGTACGTCGCCGAGGCCATCGATGCCACCGTCAGCTGGGAGGACATCAAGTGGCTGCGGGGGCTCACCTCGCTGCCCATCGTGCTGAAAGGGATCCTCAGGGGTGGGTAGCCCTGCTGCTTCCCAGGGGAGGGCAGGGGGAGAGCTGCCACTTCTCCTGCACCGTCAGGAACCCACCGGGGAAGGTGTTTGTGGGAGCAGCTGCTTAAAGAAGTGCCTGGTGTTGTCACCAACGCCACCATTAACACCATCATGCCAGTAATTTTGCAGTGGACAAAATCATTCAGCAAAAGAATTTCTTTACTGATGAGTTCTGGAACATAATAGTGAAAATAAGGGCTAGCAACCAAGGTGGCTGCTGATCCAAAGGGATAAAATGTTCTGCTCCAACATTCCAAGCTAATTTTCTGGTCTTATTACTTAAAGATAAAACCTTTTTCTGTGTTCAGGCGAGGCTTTGGTAGGATGAAGCCCTAAGGTGTCTTTGCATGAGCTGACAATGGTTTTCTCAGTGATTCCCTGATTGTGGTGTGTACAAGCTCCCACTTATGGAGGGGCACATCCTGTTTGGGTTTTCTCCTAGCTGATGATGCCAAAGAAGCTGTAAAGCTTGGGGTAAATGGGATCCTGGTGTCAAATCACGGAGCACGACAGCTTGATGGGGTCCCTGCTACTGTGAGTATTCATGCCAATATGCTCCAGCAATCTCTAATTTTCTCTGCCTTTTTGGCTTCTTGTTTGCTTTCTCTGAACATGTGGAAGCTGGAGGAAAAACCTGGAATAAGTGTTCTGTGCCTTAAGCCATGAGTAATAACCTCTCTCCACTTCTCTATGTATGTCGCATCGTACTCTGAGTTAGACACAGCCTTTCCTTGCTAGATCAAATTGGAAAATCTTTCAGAATTTTTCTTCCACGTCTTCCTTTTCATCCATTTCTGAAAAACCCTCTTGCCATTTGCAGCACACTGAAGGTTGTATTAGGGTCGTTTTTCCTCTTTTAATATTCTTTGGAGGCTTCTGAAAAATTGCAGTTAAGGAACAGCTAAAGGCAGAATGAAACTCTCCATTTTTCTCCTTTCAAGTATTTTCACCTTTGGAAAAGGGAGAGAGTGGTTAAATTACAGTTTTTCCTTTTTCCTTTTCCTTGTCGTGCTACCCCATGACTTTTCCAAAGGTGAAAGGGATTTGAGAATTTCTCCATCGGCAAAAAAGAAAGAAGTAAAGGAAAATGAAAAAGTATGTGCTCAGGATGAAGGAAAAACCCCAAAATTCCAGTCATCACTCATCTTGCTTCATTTGGTGTGGGAAAGCTGCACAAATAAAAAGAGAATGAAAGGGAGGGGAATCAAAGCCCAGTTGTGCCTCTCAGAGTATTTCCAATATGTTCTCGATGAAAAACCTCCTGTTCTCCATGATGGTTCCCTGAAGGGAGAGGGGAGCAGGTCCTCTTGTCACCTCCTGGGAAAGCATTCCCCAGTTTCACTGAGAGTATTTGAAACTCCTGGACAAGCCTGCGTGTGAGGTAATCCAACAGCAACAATGTATAAGGTTGTTAAAAACATCATTTGGAGGAACCCGGGAGAGCTCAAGAAATACAAATTGATTTTTGACAGCTGCAGCAGAAGAGAAATTTGCGAAGTCCTTGTTAGGGGTTACTCCTTTGCCACACCACAGGGCAGAGGAGAGCTGCTAAAGCTGATGAGTTCCCTGGGTTTATGGTAGAACACTACTTCACAATTCCCGTTTTTATAAAGAATCTGCATCAGGTCATGTTAAATGGTTCTGATTTAGAAACATAATCATTTGCTTCAGTTTCGTGGGGTTTCAGATGGTGAGCTGAACCCAAGCTGGTCAATATTTCTAGTGTCTAGTTATGCGTTGAGGAAATCGATGTTTTAATTATGGTTTGCATCATGCTTTAGTTATTAGAGCACTTGAATGTTGGTACGGTTTGTCAGGATGTAGAGAGTGGTCTCTGGATATGGAAAGAGATCCAAAATATGTCTGGCAAGAGAGCAAAACCAAAGGGAGGGGGAAAATCACAGCAAGTGCCAAACTTGAAGAAAATTTTAATCCAAATCTAAAAACAAAGTGCACTTTCAAGTTTTTTCCCTCCATCTTCTAGTCATTTTTATCCATTAGAAAGGAAATGAATTACATCCGTATTTGAAAGATGTGAATTTGTGTGTCTTTTGTCTTACTTCCACACACTCTTTCCAGTCTCCTTAATACTTGGCTTCTGGTGGTGCTCCTTTCCTGATTTTCATGAATAGGAACTATTTAGGTGGCCTTGTAGGAAAATCTGCCCTGTAATTAATGCTCCAGGCTTGCATTCAGGAGGCTCATCCTTTCATTGGGACCTCTTGCATGGCAAGAAGAATTACTTAATTCCCTAGTTACACACTTGTAACTTGAGAACAGTAAAAATATCTCCCCTTATTTGCATCACTGGTGTAGGGGATAAGCTGAGAGAGGATGAGCAGAGCTCAGTGAAAGCATTAAAAGAAATTACTTGCCACCTTGCTCAAAACTTAGAGGAAAGTTAATTTTTTCTCACATTAAGAAGTTTTTCTCTATAGTCATTCCTGTAAATAGATGCATTGTCAAAAGGGAAAATGCATTAATTAAAATTTTTCAGCCAACTCTAAGTTCTTCCAGGCATGTGTTTTTCTCACTCGTTGTCTGTAGGTACAGTGCCTGCTCTGGGCTCCTGAGCTGGCCCTCAGGATAAATGAATGGGAAATTTAAACAGGGAAGCAAAGATGATTATTTAAAAAGTGAGCTGATCCAATTTCATCCCCTGACTAGTGAAGACTGGAAGTTTGGGAGGTAACTCCATGAAAAGGCTTCCTTAGTGCTGCTGTTTTGTATATTCTGCATAAGAATCAGATACTGGCTTGTGTCAGATATGTGTCATGGGGTCAGATGGCCACTTTGTGACACCCTGCTGATTCTCATTCTGTTTATGTGACTCTCCAAAGAAATCTGACCTTTGTATGTACCTTCTACCCTGCAAAGGCACTGCTGGTTCTCAATACAAAGCTGTGTTATTTGGGTGTGTATATTTAGGCATGCAACTGCTCATTAAGCTGCTGTAAAGCTTGGATCCTATGTGTAAGAACTGGCTCAAAAAATAAATAGGGTTTCAGGAGCAGCCAAGCTGTGTCCCTGGTTTCTCTCTCTTAGATTGATGTCTTGCCTGAAATCGTGGAGGCAGTGGAGGGGAAGGTGGAGGTGTTCCTGGATGGTGGGGTGAGGAGAGGCACGGACGTTCTCAAGGCACTGGCTCTTGGTGCCAAAGCTGTTTTCGTTGGGAGACCCGTCCTCTGGGGCCTGGCTTATCAAGTAAGTGAGGGGAAGCTCCAAGCATGACTTCAGATCCCCAGAGTCACTGTTTAGCCCTATTAAATGTACATGTGTGTGTGTGTGATGCATCCGTGTGCATCCAGATCTTCTGATTTGCTGTTTGCTAAAGTTTGCTGTGACCAACCCTCAGGATTTATGGTTGTGCAGAAAATCTTTCTTGGCACAAGTCTCCATGCCTATGCCTACACGCATAAACGTACACACAATAGTTCACATTGTCTCCTGATCTCCCAGGGTGAAGAAGGAGTAAAAGAAGTTCTCCAGATGCTGAAGGAAGAGTTTCGCCTGGCAATGGCACTGACAGGTGGGACATTGACATTTCCTCTCTGTAATCACGTTTTCTCTTCTGCCCCAGGCAAGATGCTATAGCAACTTGCATGAGGGGAATGTTTGCAATCTAAACAGGTTAGTCTGTGGAGAAATGGGAAAAAGACTTGTTATCCCTGCCTTATAAATGGGGAACCAAGAAGATTTAGGTGAAAACATTATTTTGGGGTTTTTTTTTTCACAAGGAGAGTAATAAATCTGTAGAAAAGTAATGGCAAATCTTTGGTTGCTGAGGGGTGGCACGTTTTCTCTTCTGCCCCAGGCAAGATGCTATAGCAACTTGCATGAGGGGAATGTTTGCAATCTAAACAGGTTAGTCTGTGGAGAAATGGGAAAAAGACTTGTTATCCCTGCCTTATAAATGGGGAACCAAGAAGATTTAGGTGAAAACATTATTTTGGGTTTTTTTTTCACAAGGAGCAATAAATCTGTAGAAAAGTAATGGGAAATCTTTGGTTGCTGAGGGGTGAATTTCATCTGACAGAATGGAGATTTTTATAAGGCAGAAAAAGAAAAGGCTTAGAGTGGGTTGGAAAATCAGGGACTTGAACTGATCTGCAACTTCTCCTCCAGGATGCCGGAGAGTAGAAGAAATTGGCAGGACACTGGTCCGAAGACATCAAGGATTGCTTTCCAAGATTTAGGTCTGAAGACTCTTGCCTTGTGCATTGCCTGTTGTGCTTCCAGACAAAATCCAACTGCATTCCCTCTGAGGGCCTCCTCCTGCAATCCTGACTGAGGGAATGCTTGCTCTGTAGGAAATCACTTGTTGAAAAAATAACTCAAAGCAAATTTTGCAGGTGCTTCCAAATCTCTCGGGTTCTTAAGGAAAGCTGCTACACTGGGAGGTGTGATTAGAGATGGACCTTTATACAAGACCAGCATAGAAACTTCAAGGTGGTTTGCAACAAATGCTGATAATTAATTTCCATGCCTGGGAGTAATTTAGCTGTTAAAGTGAAACTATAAACAGAAATGCTGAAATTTAAAATGCAAAAGATGCTTCTTACTCACTGTTTAGAGAAACCAGACTGAAGATTGTAGAGATTAAATCTTGCTTTCCTATGAACAGAATGTCCTTTCCCTAGTGACTTTATAAGCATCTGGGCTTGTGGCACGTAGGCTGTAGGAGCCCAGAGGACTCTTCCTTGTAAGGAACCAAAGAGCAAAGCAAAACTGGGGAAAACTGGGGAAATTCAGCAGTTTAAGTGGCACAAGCCCCTCTGCAGTCAGACAGCTGTTATGTATGTGCATGGGATGTACATCAGATCCTTGGCTACTGCAAATCCCTGTAGCCCAAACTGTGCCAGCTGCAGCCACCTGGAGCTCCGAGTCACATTTTTCACCTGGACTGATTTGCTAATAGTGGCAAGGGAGGGCTGATGCTGCCTGGGAGAGTTTGTAGAATTTGCAGCCATGTAGAAAAGGGAAACTTGAATAATTGAGGCATTAACCCATGGCTTGGGAAGAGTCTAGTGGCTCTGTTGAGTTTCCATGCACACCCTTAAGTCAGGTAAATCTTGGTGTTCTTCACTCTGCTCATGATGGGGATGCAGAGACACGCAGGATCTGTGCCTCTGTTCTCTGAACAACCCAAATATATCCACTGAATTCAGGAGAAATTTTGCAACTGTAAAGAGTAAAAGAGGTAAGACTATACTGTTCTCATCTTGGGTAAAACCAAGACTAGCTCTTCACCTGTCTCACCTCCCTTGCACATATGGCAATTTTACAGGGAGCAGGGAAAGGCCACACAGGTTTTGAATACCTTGCTGTGAAAATTTAATGTTCATTTTTAAAGAAGACCAAAAAAGATTAAAAACCCCTTCATTTCATGGTTTCACTGACATCACCAGCTCCACCATTTGTTTCCCATCAGCCTCGTGCATTCTGACTCTCCCGCTTTGCTCGGTTTGAAATATCCCTTACTGAGCTTTGGAGGCAGCTTTGTAATGAAATGATGGAATATTATAATGGGAACTAAAGCTGGGGCTGGAACTCGAAATGGGGAGAAAACCCAAAAGGCCACATGCTTGCCCTCCAGTTGTAAAATCTGTACTCTTATTTACTGCAGAGTATGGTCTGTTGTGTGAGAGTTGCGTAGCAACAAAATAAAGTTTATCTGTGCAAGGAAATATGAATGTTTCTCAGAGAACAGAGAAACATAATTTCTGCTGTTTACTGCACTTATCATATCTGTTGCAATGTGGACTGTGTCAGATGTCAATTACAGACTAAATTCGGCAAGACTGTTTATTTGAGATAATATAAATGTTACTTAAAAGACAGGGGCATAATATCTTATGTTTACATGTTTAAGATCTATTTCTAAAGCTCAGAAGATGCAGTTTCCTGTCTTTGCCCCAGCCAGATTCGAGGAAGGTTCTGAAACTCTGTGGTTCAGTAGAAGCTCTGATGGTGAGGAAACTGGTTTTGTTACTTGTGCGTAATTCACTGGTTCTGGTTCCTCTGGGATAAGGGGTTTACATTGTTTTTTCCTGCCTGTTATCTGAGAATCGTCTGACTGCCTTCCAGCTCAACCCTAGTAAGACTAGACAAGCACTAAAAACCAAAATTAGAGCCAAGTACTTAAAGGCTGTGAGACTGTTAACAGAAAGTTAATTAATTTGTCTGGTAGAATTCTCTTTTTAAAATATTCCACAGTGAAGAGAATTTCTTTTGATCTTGAGACAGCCAAACACAACTATATTTTGAAATTATTAAATAATAATTTTTTTAAAAGGGCAGGAATTCTGTTTGGTTTGGGTTAAAAAGCAGAAAGACTGAGTGCCCTCAACCATTTTAAAAACTGAACAATGTCCAGGCTAAGGAAAAAAAATCTATCTCCACACTTGCTTCATCTGGAGAAGCTGAGAAAAAACCAGAGCACACAGGTGATAGTAGATCTTTCTATGGTTTGTGAGAGTGTTTCTGAGGAGAATGTAAGTAATGTAACCAAAAAAATAGGTCTTTGTGAAATAGGTAAGTAGAAAATTATTAGTCTTAAGTAACAAATGAACCCAACAAACTTTTAGGAACAATTAGTCATAGTCCTTATATGAAGGCACAGAAGTAGAGGGAAGCAGAAATATTTTGCATTTATGATGCTTTAGTGTAACTGCCCACCCAAATGTCAAATAGCAACCAGGATGGGTTAAACAGCAAAATGATCTTCTGGCTTCACTTGGGCTCCATATTAAGTCACAAATACAAAGAAAAATTATCTACACAGAAAATATTCTACATAGAGTGATATTTCAGTACCCAGAAAGACAGCACTCAGCTGGTGTGCTGGGGACTGGGAAAAATCCCAGCTGGTTTGGGAGGCTGGTGAACGATCAGTGGCGGAGTGGGGCTCTCTAACCACCTCCCAGGATGGACCAGGAACATTCCCTGGAAAAGGAGATTGCAGCTCTCAATGCAAAAATATTTATCACATGTTCTGTGAAGAGAGAAGAGACCAAAAGCAAAACCTGGGGGTGTGAATCACATGTTCTGTGAAGAGAGAAGAGACCAAAAGCAAAACCTGGTGTATGAGAGGAGGAAGATCCTGTGCTTTTCAGGAGAAAGTGGTGCTTCCCAAGAGGCTCAGATGCGAGGCAGGCCCTCACACACTGGTGTTTCATGTTCAGCCTGTGTGTGGAGTTCCCTGCTGCTGCCAGTTCAGAAGTTTCCCTTTCTGGAAGCATTGCCACAAAGTTGTCTCCAGTGAGCTGCTGGAGGGTTTAACCCACTGAACAGTGTGTAGCAGAGGGTGGCATTCTCCACAGGATATGCAGAAACCACTCAGGAGGTTTGGAGAGGCCTCAGCCCCATTTTGGGATCTCGACAACCGAGATCAAGACATGTACATTTTTAGCACTAAGTTCTAAAGAAATCAATCTGTTTCAAAGTGGTGAGGTCACTGAAAGAGCCCGTGATGTTTTCTGAACAGCCGATCACATCAAGGCTGGACATGCAGGGAGCAGGGTTCTCCTAAGAAAAAAACCAGTATCCTTCTGGAAAAGCCCACCTTGAGCAGGTTTGGCTGTGCTGGGAACGTCTTTGCCATGAGAGTCTGGCAGTTGAACTCAGCAGAGGAGAGCACAGCACTGTGGGCTGGCTCAGCAGATGGCAGGAGTCAGCTGAGGGCTGTGGGAACATCTGACCTTTCAGATCAAACTGAGGAGGAGAAGGTTACTGCAGCTTGAGGACAGATTTTCCTCTCTCTCTCACTTGCCTGTCAGTCCTTTGAAGCAGAGACCTGCTGCTTTTCAAATGTTTGGAGCATGCACACAGGGTGGAGAATCCAGTAAGTAAATAATAGGAGTCATAATTGAGTGCACTGAAGCTGAGGAGCTGTGAAAGACATGATCTGTTTTCGTGTGACCTCCACCTCTCGCTGCGACTCCGGGACACGTTATTGTGTTTTATTTGCACTAGTGGCCAAGTCAAACAAATAGCTCTGGAACTGGGAAGGACTCCACCTCCATTCCCCAATTCTTCAGGTTGAGCATGAAACTTGTCTGTCTTACTGGGAATTTCTGAACATAAACAAACAGACACTTAGAGTAACTCTGATAAATGGGCAGTGTAGGTCGGGGCCTGCTGGATATGCAGGCGACTCAAAGATGAAGCAGAGCTGGGGAAGTAGGCAGGAATGGCTCTGCTTTTCTTGGCTTCTCAAATGGTTTTTAGGCTGAAATCAAATACTTGAGTGCATGAGGAAAGCTGGCTTCTGAAGTCATGATTTTGCACTGAACCTCACTGTAAGGATATCTCTTATAAAGCTACTTTTGATGTGGAAATTTGGCTCCAAACCACACTGAAGGCCATTATAAATAACCACTTCATCACAGGACACACAGAAGTTGGCCTCCTTGAACACTCCTAGAAAGCAAACCTAACCTTATTGAGCCATAACCTCAGCTAGTGTAAATCAGAGAAGCTCCATTGACTTCATTAGTTTATACTGATTTACACCAGCTGTGACTGCAGCCCACAATACAGCAAGATATGTCAGCTTTTAAATTCTGTCACTGGGTGTTGAACAAAACTGGTTTTAAAACAAGACTGGCAATCCCAGATTTAGATCCTAATGAGATGCAGCATTGTAATTGTTTCACGATGCTTATGTGCTCCATTTTGTTTTCATTTTTGCATTGCTTCTGTTTTTCTTATCTCCTGCCAAACAGAGGAAGAGTACCACATATGTTACATTCATAACAAAGATGTTTTGCTGCATTGAGAACACGTCCTCCAGATGCAAAATGCCTTTGTGCTGTAGCTCAGCTTCTTCCTTTGCATAGGTACATGGGTTATGTGCCAACACAAGAACGCCCTTGAGGGCAGCCCTGTGTTTCCCCAGGGCCTGGGGCTCTGGAAAGGGGCACCCAGAGGCTGTCCCAAGGGAACTTCAAAGGTCTGATTCCCCCTTATGGATTTCCAGCTCCTAAGGTGGCTCATTTCAGGAGGGCAGGATGAATTGTGCCCGAGAGCACCCTGCTAGGACCACCCTGAGTCCATCAATACTCTGTCACAGTCCTGCAGGGTGCTCAGGTAATTATCCACACCGAGTAATCAGCTGGCACCTCTGTGGTGTGGAAGGCTGGGAGGTGCATACAGATGGATTATTCAGCCAAAGGGAAGACATTCATATAACCAGACTGACAGTGATTAATACTGGTTATTACTTTGTGACAGCAGCAGCTGTAACTTCCAGTCCCAGCCAAGGCAGCGCTGTGCACTGCAGAGATGCTTTTCTGCAGGCAGCAGTCTCTGCTCAACAGAGTCAGAAGGGTAAACTGACAGGCAGAGGCAGAGAAAGCCTCTCTCTAAAATGGGAACACAGAAAAACTGATTCCCCCAGCTAAATCCTTTAACTTTCCCTTCCACTACCTTAACTCACAGCTCTCTCTAGGGCAGGTAACTCTGAGGTGGACAACACACACCACAAATACTCAACAAGCAGGGGAAGGTCCACAGGCAAACAGAGCTGAGGTGCTTTAGGAGAACTGAAGGTAGTGGATTTTAAACTCTTAGTTGTCATTACAAAGGTTCCTGCAAAGCAGGTATTCACCATAAGGTTTATTTCA